AAGTTAATTGTATCATAAAGATATAACTCAACTACCAAAACTCATGTCAAGAACAATTCTAACACAAAATGAAAACCCTGAATACTAGTTAAAATTGGTAACGGTATCTTGAATATGTAACAAAAACATTTCTATTTTTAGTTTTCCTGTACATTTTTATATTTTTGCATGAAAATGTAGTATGTTATTCATGGCTATGAAGAAGTATTGATACTGTAGTCATGACGACTGATATTTGTTTTCTTATTATCATGGTCTACTACCACATTTGAGAATGTTTTACTGTTTAGCGCTGTTTCAATTTAAAATGTCAACATGGCTGTGAAGGGAATTTTTAGAAGTGTCTAAATCTTTCGAATCAATTCCATCACCTGATAAGATTCGTATTTTTTCATGATTATTTTTTGTAATAAAATTGTGGAGGCTGAGTTTGGTCAGGGTTTTGCTCTGGTCCACTAATAGCATGGCGTTAGCCCACTGGGATCATTGGTGAACTGATTTAGCGATCAAGGTTGTTTTTCCTTCCTTTCGAGACCGTTCATAATTTTTTTGCGAGTGAATGCACATGCGCCCATAATGAATCACGTGAATCACTGTGACCAATCTGACAATGAGGTTTGGGAATGGTTCGAAAACTTATGGCTCTCATGCATAGAAAATAAGCGTCCGCCACCTATCGGAGTTCTTGAAAGCTGTCAAAGCGGCATGTTTAATTTTTTTCATTGGTTCGCATTTGTTGTTTGTTTGAGCTTATTGGTCATAGCATCAAAACGAACCGCTTAGAAATGTTCAATATGCTGCCGTCAGGTGGGACGACGTGTTATTTTTTATCGCAAATGGTGCCCATAAGCAAAAACGAATTTCTTCCTCTAATATTCACCAAGAAAATGAATAAAAATATTTCATGGCCGTCTGACATTTTTTCGAATTGCGAAAGGTCAGTTTGAAGACGTTGAAATTACGCAACTTTTGTCTGATTTAATCAACTTTCTACTAGTACTGTTTTGGAAATAGCAATACAGTCCCTATTCAATTGGTAAGACCCTGTACATTGCTTTAACCTGTTTACAAAACAAAGGCTAAGTTAAATTGAAAATGAGTATTTGCGTATTCGACTGCATTGATTTAGTTCGGTTCGAATAGGTTTAGAGCAGAAGCATAATATGTGGATAATGCAAACCATTCATTCTGGCACTGTAAGGAGAACTTTGGTTGTTAGCTCCACTGTATTCCTGAATTCACCAATCTAACCATCAACACCAGTGGTGGAAAATTTGTTTTTGCTAATATATATATATGTTGTGTTGCTAATTCACCTGGTGAACATTCTTATGAGCCACCAATTCACCGTCATTCGAACCAATATTTTAACCGTAATTTGAGGTTAAAACTCATCAAATATTGAGTTCAATGCACTTTTATGGTTCTTTGTTCTGGTGGGTTTATGTGGTTGAAAATTCCAAATGAAAAATTCATATAAATATTTAGTTACTTAAATAAGCCTCAATAAGTTACTCCAATCTAGCAGCAGTGGTAAAGGTAGTAGTATAGACTCTAGTTCATCAATATGAGACGATGAGGCGAAGGCAAAAGAGATTCAATCCTATCCAAAAATCTGAGATGCCTTCATTACCTTAGAAAATATACAAATGCGAATTTCATTCACATATATTTTAGTAACTATCGTAAAATTTATAGAAACTTGATAAAAATTGCAAAAGAAAATTATTACAAAGAAATAATCACCGATTCTGATAACAAATCAAAAGCTAGCTGGAATATTATAAACGACTTAACAGGTAAAAGCGGCAAAAATAAAGCAGAAATGTCTCTAAAGGCTGATGAGCTGAACAATTATTATTGCACTGTCGCTGGGAAATTAACCCAAGACTTAGCAAGTAATAATCTTCCAATGGAATTCTTCAGTAGTAATCCTATTTGTCAATCTATTTTTTTTTACGATACAAATATTACAGAATTGAAGCAAGTCATTAAAGCAATCAAAAATAAAAAAACACATGGGATCGATGAAATCTCAATTAGAATTCTTGAAAACTTGCCGGACGAGGCCCTGGATGTATTGACCACTCTGATAAATGACTCATTTCAGAAAGGTATATTTCCGGAATTCCTTAAAACTTCTCTTGTTATTCCTATTCATAAAGGTGGTGATGTAGACGAGCCAGCAAACTTCCGTCCAATTTCTCTTATACCCTCTCTCGCAAAAATAATAGAGAAAATAGTAAAAATTAGAATAACAAATTTCTTGAAAAAAAAAAACATAATCTCTGTAAAGCAGTATGGGTTCCAAGAAAATAAAAATACCAGTGACGCTATTTTCTCTTTTCTCCAAGAAGTATACTTGAAAATCAATAGTGGGGAGGCAGCAGCAGCAGTATTTTGCGACTTTTCTAAAGCCTTTGACTGCGTGGATCACCAAATACTGCTGGCAAAGCTCCATCACTACGGCTTCAGAGGTGTAGCATACAAATGGATTGAGTCTTACCTAACTGATCGTCATCAAATTGTGAAAACTTCATCTTTTTCAAATATAGCATCGGTGAATTGTGGTGTACCTCAAGGATCGATACTGGGCCCCACTTTATTCTTATTATATATCAACGATCTGCTTAATATTGATATCTCCGGAAAATTTACTGTGTTTGCGGATGACACTACTATTCTATGGCATGAAAATAATGCAGATGCACTAGAAGAAAAAATCCAAGTAGACATTAAAGTATTAAAAAGTTGGTGTGACTCAAATCGTCTTGCTCTAAATGTAACAAAAACCAACATAATATCCTTCAGGTGTGAAATAATCAATATTGAACTAGATAATGGCCTCATTGAAAGCTGCAATAAGACTAAATTTTTAGGGGTTTTTATCGATAATAAATTGAAATTTGAACAACATGTTTTGAACTTGAATAAGAAATTGGCCTCTGGTTGTTTCGCTGTGAGAACAGTAACAAAGGAACTTGGACCCTCAGCTGCAAAATTAGTCTACCATGCATTGATAGAGTCTCACCTGAGATACGGTATTCCTTTCTGGGGAGTATGTAATAATAACCTCATGCTAAGTATACTGGTACTGCAAAAACGCTCGATTAGATATATGTCCAAAGTTAAAATGCGTGTTTCCTGTAAACCGCTGTTTGTATCGCATAAATTACTAACTGTTATTGCAATCTTCATCATTGAATCAGTATATCTCATCAAAAAACACATCCATAAATTTAATACTACTCCTTCCTATTACTCTACCCGTAAGCATAACAGTATAAACTTACCAATACCAAGTTCTTCTCTAGTAAAGGATTCACTCATTTATAATGGATGCAAGATGTTCAATCATTTGCCCGACTATATAAGAGATATCACCCACATTGACCATTTTAAAAAAGCTGTCCATTTGCTATTATCAGATCGGCCTTACTATAGTTTGGAGGAATTTTATTCTGATCAATTCTAATTATATGTACCCTTTGCTAATGTAAGAGTCTTTTTTAATGTCTGTTTTATATTTTTAGTTTTTTATTTACACTTTTAACTCTACATATGTGCTTTGTCCATAAGAATGTATCTTTTCTTCATGACAATAAAGTATATTCTCTCTCTCTCTCTCTCTCTCTCAGAATTTAAATCATTGTACAGTTGTGGAGTCACGTAGCTTGTCATCTGGTGCCCATTGTGGAATAGATATTGTTAAATATTCCACGTCATCTCCCATTTTTACATTCGCAGATTGCACTCAAAAATCTCATCAAACGAAACTAATCTAGGATATTCGAATTCGTCAACGGAATCACAAAATGACATGTTTGTTTATTTCAGTGAAAAATTGACCCACCGACAATCCTTCAACCTATGACGTTACTATGGTGGAGCTGCACCGAATTGATGGAAATAGCAACATAGAATGCGATTTTGTCATTTACAAGATTTCAGTGATATTTGTACGTTTTCTTCAATATCTCCTGAAGTTTTATTCATATCTCGCATTATTATATAAAATGAAAATTAATCCAAACAGTTATTTGCTAGTGCATACTGATCGATTTACAGGGTCAAGTTTGTCAGAATATACATCGCAAATAACCTGTTCAGTACTATTTTTTCTCAGGTGAACATATTATGTGGAAGTTGAATGGTGAGCTAATTAATCTCCCTATATATTCAGCACGCACTGCTACTTAACTGTTACTGAAGAGCTGCTAAGGAAAGATCATACTAATTACAATATAGGGTTGCTGCTGAAATGCAAATAATTAGGTATCTAAATCGAATAATTGTGGTGTGTGGTCTGGGTTTACTATTAGTAATTTTCTATATTATATTGAATTTCAGATGTCACTTGAAAATTTTCGCCTATTTTATACTGCTATGAGATTCATTCATTTTATAAATGTTTCACCACAGTTTACAGTAGATTTTCAAGATAATCCCTTGGAGTTGATTATTTTATAAATAATATTTGAATACATGGATTATCTGAAAAAACTGTAAATTAAATACTATTTCAACACCATGAAAATATTTACAAGGTTACAATATATCGAATCTTTATACTTAAATAAAATAAATATCCAGTCTATGTGCACATTAACAACATAATTCGACAGTTAACATGAAGAGTGAATTCTTGAGTTTCTATACAGAATGTGATAATGATAATGTGAATATACTAAATAACCGACTAACAAAGTTACTTAACAATGTTTAATTTCAATGTACTAGAAATAATAAACATGCTAACTAATAAAAATATGGAATTCAAAAATTCACCCTAAAATTAGAAATCAAATTACAACACAAATACAAACAATATAAATAGTTTCTTTGTAATACACGTACCACCTATATGAGTAACGACATATAGTTTTATACAAAATTAAAGCTGAAGCTATATTCGAGTAAACCTAAACTGAGAAGAGAGAACTAACTGCTTTCAGGAATCTCGAAGTAATGTCTGATGTATCCAAGTGACTAGAAATTATTCATTCTACTACAAATCGAGATGGATTGAAATCTCTGTTAATTATTGAGAATCCCCTAAATTCATCCTGATTGATTGACTGTAGAACTTGATTGCTGACTGGTGTTAAAACGGGCTCTTCTCTTGTAAATTCAGCATCGAAATTTGTCACATCTTTTCTACTTTTCTGTTGACAAACAGAAATATTACACTAATTTAGTTGTCTTCTGAATATTGATAGAATTTGATACATGATGAAAATTATGGCCATTTGAAAAAAAAATTATGGGCGTGCATGGATTTCACATACAATTAATGTGAATATACAGGTGTCCGCCATGTAGTACGTAAATATGGGACAAAATAAATTCATGATTGAATTACTGGAAACATTATTCTAGGCGATAAAGAAGCGACAAGATAACGAAAAAAATCGTTTGAAAAAGTAGCTTGTTTCGCATGTATTTCATTCTATAGTCAGTCTAGATTGCATTTAATAAATGTAAATTTGATACGTACACTAATAGATGCGGGGGATCAGAAGTACCTACCACCGATGACGAATTTATTACTTTTGACCATATTTTCAACGGTCAGACATTTCATATTGTGATGTTGGCTTATAATTATTGAAAATAAGAGCAAGCAAAACTTCTTAGGACCTTTCGTTTTTCAAACTAATTATAACTGACATTGACGAAAGACAACACATTAGACACATTAAACTCAATTTGACAGTGATTATTACTGCAAACAAATAGCAGGAAATCTCTAAATTTTTCCAAGTGGAATATGGTCAATTGGCTGCCATTCACTGAACGTTTTTGTTAGAAAAACTGATTCAATAATCTGCACTTGTTGAAAGGTAGTACAGAATGGGCTAGTGAACTCTTCAAACATTTTCTGAATGGTTTGGATGTCGAGAAATCACAAATTGAGTGACAGTTTCATTCAAACGGTCGAAAATTGCAACTCATAACTACTGACGTCACGACTCAGTGACTGAAACACCTAGTTAGAAATAACAGAAATTGTGTGGCTATCAACATTTATGAATCATGATTTCTTGATCTTCTACTATCTACTATAAGGAAAGATTCCTAGTTGCTTCATTTGCAACTGGATAATATTTCCTTCATACCTGTATAGATTTGTTTGAGTGTTCGATACGAAAGCGTTTATTAATTCATAGCAAACTATATTCAGTGTGAAACAGCGCAGAGCGCAGTTGCCGAGAACCAACGGATATTTACCGATTGTTTGTTCACATAGCACGTAGCACGTCTTCAGGTCTCTACGATATGAGGTACTCATAAAATGCAATGTTGTCAGAAATTTCAGAATTTCTTCGTCAATCAAAAATGTTGAATTATTGATAGTAGATTGATAGTGAATTTGATTTCTCTAGTCCACATAAAATGGATTCATTCACCTTTTGTGTAAAAGATGTTTTCTTCATTGTCAATCATGTTCAATTGAATCTCGACACTAGTGATTTAGCATTGAATTACCGTTTGAGAAGCTAGAATTTTTCATCATGACTGAATCAACAATTAGGTGTTGTTAATACCTGCACAAGTGGATAGCTTTCTATAACTTTTAAGTGTTTTTGAATTTTCGGTAAATGCTATTTCATAACGAAGTATCTTTGTATCTCAATCATAATTTCGGAAATTATTGCAAGAAATATCAATAAGTAATTCATCGGGTCGATTCTGTTTGCAAATAGCAATATGGTTGTAGAGAAGATATTGCTATCATAGCAAGATTCGAAAAAGTGGAATTCTTATCATCGATTTTTGGCAATATGATCTGTCAATTTCAATGACATCTGGTCAGCTTTCTTGCTATCTCGGCAACATCAATTTTGTGCTTGCTATCTTATAACAAGGTAGTGGATTCTTTGTTTTTGCACTACAAATTCTTCCAAGTGTATGAAAATTCAGAAAATAGTGGATTGAAAACATATGAGAGTTCAGTTGTGTCACTGTGACTACTTTAAAACCTTCCCTCAAAATTTCAATTCCTAGAGGAGTTATTAAAAAACTTAGAATGGTGATTAGAAACATATTATAGGATAGGTTCACTGCTGTGACCAACTAGAGTCCCTGTATATAACTTAGACAAGAGTCCGGACACAAAACTGACAGCCGTTGGGGTTTTTAATATTTTGTTTCATTTGGTTTGCCCACCTGACAATGTGACGAAACACCATAGTCGTCCCGCCCGCCTTTTTTAATTATTCCGAATGCCTGTCACTGTCACTTTGGAATTTTATGACCGCCAAAATTTAGCATTTTAAATTATTTCAATGTCCTGCTGCGTACATTATTGCGATAATTCATTAGAAAAGGGATTCAAGTTATTCACGATGTTTTTTGAACATTATAGGGATCCCCTTTCGTGCGCTCCAAGAGATAAAAAAAAATTCTCCGAATGATCCTTCAAAGACAATGTCATGGAAGAATGCAATGAAACGTCCAGAATGGAAAATTAATTTCAAGAAATCCGAAATATGTGAGGTGAATATTCAAATTTACTTGTGAAAACAGTACAAAAAGGATGAATTTTAGGCCCATTTTGATAGGGATTTTTTCAAGCTGATAGATTTCATATTGAAAATGTCTGCTGTACCGTCAATTTATGAAATAGAGACGTTCAAAAAAAGAGTCCCGTCGTCATCGTATTGGGAATTACTGAATGATACGTTCGCAGAGAAAGAAAATGAGAATGAGATGATGCGGAAAGAAATTGAAAGTTTGAAATCAAAACTATAGAAGATTTAGGGAAACTGCAATCGCTATATCATCAGTCCACGGTGTTATTAATTCAGATCAAATTCAAAATGTACAGGTGAATGTAGACTGCAGGAAGAGGTGGGAAACACAATTAATAAAGCACTCGCTATCAAATATATTGTTGTTTTGATTTTGTCACTTTTATTTCTGATGAGTGTTATTAAATTGAGAGAATCGGAGAAAATTATATTGAAACAATTATATCCCAACAAAAAACAACTATATTTTCTTGGCTATATGTGATACCACGAAGAACACTTAAATTATCTTTCTTATATCTAATGAAGTGAAGAAATATCTGATGAAAAAAATTTGCAATAGCCATCTCAGGAATTGATTATGAAAATTATCGATTCGAAATTTGAACACCCTGTTGTTCATTATTCGAAAATCTAATAGTTATTCTAGTTAGAATAGCCCTAATTCTCACTTCTACCTACGGCTATGAACGGTTTGACAAATAATCTAACCCTCAAAAGGGTTTCTGACGATCATTGATACTAGGGGAATTGAGATGACAGAGCTTGATATATATGTCTTATTCCTTTATTCAATCATCAATGCATTTTTTGAAAACAGAAAAGGACAGAAGTATAGCTGTGTCCGGACTCTTGTCTAAGTTATATACAGGGACTCTATGACCAACTACCTACTTGAAAACCTTTTCTTGAAGTTCCAAATTGTTGAGGAAATATGAAAGTACAATTTCGGCATATCAGAGAAATATCAGTTGCCTTATGGATAGTTTATCAAGATATTTTGCTAGAATTTAAAAAAAAAATCACGATTATTTTCATCCGGCTTTCAAGTTTTTTTGTCATTTCGGGGACATGATTGATTACTTGCACCAGTCGCACAACGACGACCAGATTCGGCAAATACAAAATCTCTCGATTTGAACAATATAATGTTGTAAAATGTCAGTGGACTGACTTTATTGAGAGGTTAGATAATCATGAACTCTTCTTCTTCATGAAATAATAACAAAATCGATACCTAACACTTAAACAATGAGTTGAAAACAGTGTTGTCAGCTCAAAAATTCTCAATTTTTCAACAATATTGCTATCACTTGAACTTGTAACCAGTCTTGCAGTTATTCTGCAAACAGAATACAGAACTTCATAGCAATATTGTTATATGTTATGATCATAACAATATTATTATCTTAGCAATGTTATAACAAGATCCGAACAGAATTGACCCGATAATCATTCAAATTTCGAATATTTCCACACTCGAATATGTGTATCGCACCGTAGCACAAGCACGGTTCTGAGCAAGTTTGAAAGCCAGTGGAAATCATTTCTCGACAAAAGTTCGCTCCTGAAATTCTCAGTGGACCATGCAAAACTCGTTCAGTGCCGAAATAGGTCGAGCTAGTGCGACGAGTGGACAACGCTATTAGAAGTTATCTGGCCACACTAATTTTGCTCGTGTTCCAAATTGTTGAAACGGTCCTTAGAATGCGCAGAATCAGGTGCGCATCAAATTCAATCGAAAACAAGTCTGCGAGAGTTTTGAGACCAGATAAAGGAGAACGCGTTTTCTCATCTTCTTTCGCGAAAATAAGCTGTGTCTTGACTCACGAGGATCGAGGGCATATTTAGGTTAGGGTTATGTCAATGTTAACATGAAAGAATCCTAAAATTCAGAACCTGAACATAATAACCTTCTCCACTACAATAGGTATTACCACACCTAAACCTATCAAATATGATCCCAGAATTCTTTAATCTTAATACATATTCATTCAAAACCACAATTCCCAAGATTGGTCATGGGGATTTCTAGCAGAAACATTTTCCAGAACATTTATTATCATCTAAACTTGAAGAGGACGATGAGCTGGAGCTCATATGCCCAATGTTCATAATCTTGATTGAATTTCTTCAATAATTCTTCTTCATCTTGTTTAAAACTGTATTTCTCAGTCAAAGAAGCTTGAAGGTTGAAAATCTGTTGCATAAACGCATGCGCACCCAAAATTATTCACAACAGTCATGGACAGTTCTTGCCCAAAGGCTTGAAACTATCCCAAACTAGGGTCCCTTGATGTAAATTGACGTATTTGTCATCTAACAGGAGGGTACGGACAGATCCTCGTCTCCTCTTACTCTAAAGTGTTTGTGAAACAGTCATATAGTTACATCTTCATTCATTTCTGGGGATAAACACTACATTTCTGACATTTGTTGTTTTTTAGGTTATATTGAGGACATTGGCGTATCATACGTAATTTCCACATGTAATTTCTCATTCAACTCTACATATTATATCCAAATGGTGATGATAATTTTCGAGTTTTTGATTTGTCAACTCCAGCATAATCTTTGTGAGGCAGTGAGCAAATTTTTCTGAAAGTTCAATACGTCTTACCAAATAGGACTGTTCTTAGGCAGTACCTATCAATAAATGCATTTTGATTTCAGAACAAGCCTTATGGTTGAGAAATGGTGAAAAATGTTATGTAGGTATTCAAACTAATGTGCTCATATGTCAAGTGTGCTGTATATATTCATGTTGGGAATCATTTTTGCAGTTTTTCATGAACACTTAATATTTCCTGAATGTAAGCATACTTTTTGAAATGGTAGGGCATATGCCTCTTCTTAATCCTCAGTTTTAATCGAAACTGTTTCTACTAAAATGCATTAAAAAACTTGTGGAGTGGATATTTAGAGGCACAATGAGAAAGTATAATATGTGATTTCGTATCAGTTTTACCTTGAATATTATGCTGATGTATTTACCAATTTTCCCCAATCGGTCACTTCACTTTCCATGTTCTAAGTTCATTTGCAATTGATGGAAAGCTGACAATTTCAAATTAGCCATCCAACTGATTGATACAGCCTAACGCAGCACATTTTACCATCCTTCCAAGACACAATTGAATAATGTTGTATTATGATAAAGTATGAAATTAAATTTTGTAAGATCTCTTTTAACGCCTATAAATGTGACGCAAATACACGAAACCAAAGTCACTGGATGATTAATAGAGAAAGGAGCTATGATCTGTATGTACCCTGTTAGATGACAAATACGTCAGTTTGCATCAAGGGACCCTATCCCAAACTAGTTCGTACTAAACGAGAACACGTGATATGTGGAATACGAAACAGTCCTGAGGAAACGCGAACACTTATTTGTCACTGCGCATGCTTATGATGGTTTCGGACTGTTAATTTTGTGAAAGCGAACAAACCTATTACTGATAGCTACTCACAATTCTCGGCCGGAACGGGGGCTTGACCCTGCGCTGCTCCAACGCCGCCCAGTCCATGTCCTTGAAGAACGCATGCGCCTGGATAGCGGCCTCGGCGCCCTGCGACACCACGCAGCCCAGCCGCTTGCTCGGGTTCTTGGTCATGAAGCCCTTCAGGATGCTGACGGCCTCCCGGCTCAGCCACACCGGATAGAGCACGTCGTCGTGCAGGATGGACTCGAACAGGTCGTCCTCGTTGTCGGCCTCGAAGGGCGGCTGGCCGGCCATCATCTCGTACATGAGCACGCCGAGGGCCCACCAGTCGACGCTGGCCCCGTATTCTAGTTCCTGTTGAATAACAACTTTTGGCACCAAAACTTCCTAATTTTTCCAGTTGATTCTGGTTGAGGGTGTTTATCGAAGGCTTTTCCAAAGTCCTTAGGGGAAATTACCTTCGATAAACACCCCCATCAACGTCTACTGGAAAAGCTTGAAAGTTTTGGTGCCAATAGTTGTTTGTATAAAGGGATTAAATCCCTTGCAATGGTATCAACATCAGGATTCCTACACGGCGTAGATTTGGGACAATTTTTGTTTTTCTTTTGTTTGTCAATGACGTATGTGGCTCTTGGAACTCAGAAACTCTTGATTTTCAAGTTATACCGTGAGATAAACGATTCAAAAGATTGTGATTGGGACTGGTTATTGGTCCTGAAGCCCTTCAGGATGCTGAGGGCTTCATCTCGTACATGAGGGCGCCGAATCCCCACCAGTCGACGCTGGCTCCGTATTCTAGTTTCTAACAACAACTGTGCAAACATCTTGCAATATGGGTCATTTCTCTTAAGCATACACGTACTTTGGAAAAGTCTTTGATTAAACCTCCCACCAACGTCTACTAGAAAAATTAAAAAGTTTTGGTGCCAAAATTTGTTTGTATTAAGGGGTTAAATCTCTCACAATGGTAACACCATTAGGATTCCCGCACGGTGCACATTTGGGACAACTTTTGTTTCTTTTGTTTGTCAATGATGTTTGTAGCTCTTGAAACTCAGAAACTCTCGATTTTCAAGTTATACCGTGAGATATATGATTCAAAAGATTGTGAACAATTATAAAATGATTGGACTGGTTCTTGGTCCTGAAGCCCTTCAGGAAGCTGGGAGGTATATCACAATGGTATCAACATTAGGATTCCCGCAAGGCGTAAATTTGGGATAACTTTTGTTTCTTTTGTTTGTCAATGACGTATCTGGCTCTTGGAACTCAGAAACTCTTGATTTTTTAGTTATACCGTGAGATAAATGATTCAAAAGATTGTAAACATTTATAAAATGATTGGACTGATTCTTGGCCCCGAAGCCCTTCAGGATGCTGAGATCCTCATCTTGTGCATGAGGACGTCGAGGGCCCACCAGTCGACGCTGGTCGCATGTAGAGACTCCAACTAGAATGAGTCTTTCATAATATATATGTACCTATTGAGCTTATAAAGTCAGTTGAAAATAAAAATGAAATCATCACCTTTGATAATATTTCTTTTTCTACGAGGTATTAACAACACTGCGCTTATAGCACTTGAATCAGGCCCAAAGCCAAGCTTCTGTTAGCAAAGCTATAGGTTATAGATTCTCTGAATACAGTTGAAATGTTAAATGCATGTCTATATGCCAATAATTCTATTTTTTGGGCATTCGAGAAATTCCGGTGCGCTTGTTTATCATTATACCTATCAATCCTTTAGAAAATTGATATAATTGTCATGTGTGATTTATTTCAAGAAGACGAAATTCATACACAACTTTTTTTAAATTGCCACCTAAACAGAATGAGTAAAACCATGGAAAAAATAATTAAACGTTGCCACATCAGCAAAAAATAAATTTGAAAATCGTACCAACGACAAGTCAAAAAGAATACAGTGTGACTAAAAGAAGTTCCAACAAATTTCAAAGTTTAACCAAGTTTCAAAAATATTAAATAAAAGATCTGTCTTGAATATTCTCCTTAATAAGATCAAAATTAATGAAATCGGTCCACAGTCCATAAATAAAAAAGTCACCATAAGAAAACCAAATTTCGTTTTTTTTTACAACTAGAAGTAATATGTAGGTACCTGCAAAATCTCTGGGGCAATATAATCTGGAGTACCACAAAACGTCGACGTAGTAATGCCGTCCAATATACCTTCTTTACACATGCCAAAATCGGCAAGTTTACAATGTCCTTCAGCATCTAGTAGTATATTGTCTAGTTTCAAGTCCCTATAAATGACGCCATGTTTGTGCAGAAACTGTAGCGCTAATGTTACTTCAGCAGCATAAAATCTTGCTCGAGGTTCGTCGAATTTCTTGGCACGTTGTATTTGGAACATCAAATCGCCACCGTTGACGTATTCCATGACGAAAAACAGTCTGTCTTTGGTTTGAAAGCAGGAGTGTATTGCAGTGAGAAAGGGATGGTTAGCTGCCAGAGCTAGGATTCGTTTTTCCGTCATTGTGCAGTCGACATCATCGTCTTGTATGATTACATCTTTTTTCAGAACTTTTATAGCGTATACTTCATCGGAGTTTTTCTTTTCAGCCAGCATCACCTTACCGAAGCTTCCCTTTCCCAATACTTTTGCGAAATGAAAGTCGTTCAGTCCGATTGATTTCTTGGTGGTAGATTCATCTGGAATTGATTTTGAGGAAAATATATAATGAATCCAGTAGCTGAGTTGATGGGATTCATCATCAACGTTTGAAATGACAGCATCTATCCTCTTGAATTTGACAAGCGTCTAGCTAGACCAGCGAATCATCAAACATCGAGGTCAAGTGACGTCACCCACAACACATGTTATTCCTTCTTTATATTGAGAAACTAAGACTACTAACAGTAAAGCAACAGCTTAGTGGTCTGTGTATCTGACTTCCACTGCAGTGACTGGGGTTCAATACCTGCGAGGTGCCAACTTTTTTTCAATTATTTTTCACTCAATTAATTTTCCAAAAATACTTCTCAGGAAAAAGGTTAATTCAGGACAAGTTAGGTCGAAAGTACTTTCCTTTTTCATGCAGAAGAGATGTTTTCTTTCCTCATATTACCTTAAAAGTCTTATAAACACCAATAACCTTCTGATAACCTTGAGGTTACTGGTCTAGCTAGACACTTGTCTGAATTTGTTTCTAATGTAAAACCCACAAAAAGGTGAATATTTGAGAAAACGCGAGTGTTTGAAAATTGGATTTCTACACGGACGTACTTTTAATGAGCAAAATATTGTATGAATAAAAACATTAGGTATAGCAGAAAATATATTGAAAAGGGTGTTATCGAAATGCATACATTGAGACCTGAGAATGTTCAAGGTGTACCATCGAATGACACCATTGAAAAAAATATAGGAATAAATTAAGAATAGGGGAAATACCCTTTTTTCTACCCAAAATTCTACTCATCGAGAGATAGTCGCTCATGGAAAGCATACGAGGAGCCACACACGTTCTAGCCACATTTCATAAAAATAGTGATAGATATGTGATGAGTCATTTTGAATAAGTTTTGAATTGGATCTTACCACTTATATTCAGAAGGAAATATTTCATAGTCGACTCATCCCACACACGCATTTCATCTCGATCAAACTCCAAAGCTTAACAGACTGCAAAGACACTAGGATTTCAACAACCACGAAGTTGCATACTCGATTCGCTTTTTTTATATTTTGTTCAATTTTCGAGATGAAATTTCTTATTAATTTGAAGACTTAGTAAAAATCAAATATTGTTGGAATATTTGTTGGATTAATTGATACCACATGGCAACAATACGCAGAGAACGGTGGAAAAATTACCCAACCAAAGAGAATTTAAATTAATCACTTCAACCATAAAATAGTGGACAGTACACCAACCATCAACATCCTCACTTCGTCAGAGAAACAATAAAACCTATTCCAGAAACCCGTTACCTAGGGGTTATGATCGATATGAAATTGAACTTCAAAAAAGAAGACATCGTGAGAAGAGGCCAAATGATGCGAAAAGAAGAAGTGTATTCATCAGTTCTACCAACTTTGACATCAAGTTTCAGTGGCGCGATGTGGTGGACAATAAATAATGTTCGCCCTCATTCGCCAATAAAGATTTTCTCTCTCTTTCTCTCTCTCTCTCTCTCTCTGTTGGACTAAGTATTGATATGTTCAATATATGTATGTATTTCGATAACCTACTGTATAAAGCATGTGGAGTAAATCCCAGATTCACTATATCCAACCACCGTTTTCTTCGTCAGATGGTAGCAGGAATGGTCAGAAAGTTTTTCTGACGAATTCTCATTGTAATTTTTTCAAATAGATACCAAAGACAATCAAGTTTTTCATCTTCAGATGAGTCAAAAATACCATCAAAAGGATAGGAAGGTATAGGTTATGTCAAAATGTCATTGTCATATTATATATCAATATAGAAAATGAGTACAAGTAAACCACTCTGCTAACAGGTAGCACTCCTAGATTAACGTGAGTGGAAAAATCCACCAGTCCTATTCAAACAACTAAATCTCTCAGTTATGAGAGACTGGTAAGACTGGAGATATTAGCCTTCATTATGATGTGACTGAGTAAAACCATGAATATTTTATCCGCACATTGTTCGTGAGATTACCATCGATGATTCAGAGGGATAATAATTCAAGGATTTAAAGGAAAATTCGAAGGAATAATAATTTTCTTCATCTTGGTAACTCTGGGCTGCTGTACTTTTTCCTATAGAACTCACCACTATTAGACATTTTTTCCTCCATAGTTTTGGACAGATCTTCGCTTGTTGTATCACAACTTGCATTCGAATTATCCGGGGATCCTTCTTGCCTTTCACCATTTCCACCAGATCCAGACATCAATTTACTTCGTCTTGGTGTCTGTATATCAGGTGAAATACCTGCGAAAAAGTTCAGTAGTTATTCTCCAGACTTATGTTCATCAAGTTTCGCATACCCATTTGTGTTAAGACTTCTGCCATTTGTTTCGTATTGATCCCACAATTGTTTGCAACATTTTTTTGACAACGTTTGTGGACATTCAACGAACATGCTTCACACTGAAGTCCTTGCTTAATCAGTCCATATAACAGTGATCCACAATGATCACAAAAGGTAAAACGTTTGTAGTTATGTACTACAAATCGATGTGGTACATTTACTTTGAATCCAGTGCTTTGACTCGACTACAAATAAAAACAAATATATTAAAAGCTTTTTCGCTATTTTGCCAAGATATTTGATTATGATTGTTTATTTTCTCTCTTTAGAGCAAACGCCGAACTTCATATAAATAAAACTACATTCAGATGGAAATCCAACGTCAATATGAATAAGTGATATATATTCTCATTGGTAGAACTGGAATTACAATGCTTCTTAACAGTGATATAATTCTTACCTCATCTTGCATCCCAGGACATTTTGTAACAACTGTATGATGGCACTTCTTGTGAACAACACAAGTGCATACTGTAAGAAATTTGTATTTAGTAGCAACATTAAAAAATTTGGGGCATTGATTAACCAACACCAAAAGTGAAATATTTATACTAATGTACAATATTGAAGAATATAAAAAACTTCACCTTAGTGCCAAATGAACAATGATATGCATTTCAATAGATTTCAGACCACATTCACTGCCGAAAAATTGAAGATAAAACACTCCTTATATTCAAACCCCTACCTAGAGCTTCAACTATACGAGGCGAAATATAACTTAAAGTGTGAAAGTTGTAGGGGTTTCATCTGAAACACCATACCCTGAATTTTTTCAACTCTAGTGAAAGATATTTTCCTTCTGTTCACAAATATATAATCGGCTCAAGTAAACATCAACAAATAATCATATAAATATATTTGTGAACAGTAGATAAATATTATTTCAACAGAAATGAAAATATACAGGGTCTTTCATTAAAAAAAAACTGATTCGGATTTTTTTTTCATTTTGCGATTTGTATCTGTTCGTTTGAGGAGTGCCAAAAGATAGTACAGATGAAAACCTACAACAATTTTAAATTTTTTTTTCACCTCGTACAGTTGAAACTGTAGGTAGGGGTCAAAATATAAGGAGATACATATATAGTGAAAATAAAACATAATTTTGATTGTCTAGATCAGTGATGCAGTGAATGGACCATCATTAAGCAATTTACATAAATTAGAAATAATAAAATTGAAAAAGGATAAGTAAATTAACTTACAAAAAATTAAAAAGCTATAAGAACAGCCATGCCATTGGTGCTGCAAATTAAAAGAAAAAACAATTAGAGCAATTAATTTCAGATAAATGAACTTCATGCAGTGAACCAAGAAAAACCTTCACCACATTCAGATCAGAAATATTTATGGCGGTACAAGTACTTACAAGGTGATCTGTTATTTGGAAGTTCATTATTTGAATGAGAATGTTCTTATTTATCTGAATATCTATAGTTATGCCATCAATGTTTTTGGAAAAATACATCAAAACAGAGTTTATAAATTATAAGTTAATTTTTTTTTCATTTTACTTGGTTCTTTGGGATTTTCTCTCCTCGTTTCTATAAAATAAAAGTATTCGTATTATTTCAATATATTTGTAGAGGGACAAATCAGATGATTTGCCCCAAAATGTCACTGCGTTTAACAAATTTTTCTATCAGGGAGTCTAAAAGAAAAATCCAGTAGCTTGTCAGTGACAATTTGTTTGAAAAAATGTTTGAAGGAAAGAAATATAGATATATTGAAAAAATATCGAATTTGTACTTATCTTTGGACGTTTCGGGACCGATTCTGCTCCCGTTCTCAACATGTAAATGCAAATTATTTTTCTTTGAAAGTTGTGCTGCGTATAGTTTGACACTTTTCAGTGTCATACTGATGTTGGCATATGAATGAGTGATTTTAGTCTACAAATGAGTTACAGGATGTTTTCATTAATTGATCTTGAATCTACCATTCATGTTCAGTTTTCAGTAGTGAATACCATGTTCTATCAATATCAACTGAACAGGAAGCAATGCTATTGTCTCCGTTTAGAAGAATGCAAGCGGATTCCTTTATTTTTCTTTTTTGTTTGTTATCTTCCTTTCCTATGATTTTGATATTATTCCACTGTGCCATATGTTGTCCATCTTCAGTGAGGATATGTTCAGTTAGCTTCGATTTATCGATATGTCTTTTCTTGATATTGTACTTGTGTTCTTTTGTCCTTACTGAGAGAGGTCTCTTCGTTTCACCTGTATAATAATTTGCATTTACATGTTGAGAACGGGAGCAGAATCGGTCCCGAAACGTCCAAAGATAAGTACAAATTCGATATTTTTTCAATATACCTATATTTCTTTCCTTCAAACATTTTTTCAAACAAATTGTCACTGACAAGCTACTGGATTTTTCTTTTAGACTCCCTGATAGAAAAATTTGTTAAACGCAGTGACATTTTGGGGCAAATCATCTGATTTGTCCCTCTACAAATATATTGAAATAATACGAATACTTTTATTTTATAGAAACGAGGAGAGAAAATCCCAAAGAACCAAGTAAAATGAATGTACCACCTCCTCGATTAACCTACAGACAGTATTTAAATTTTTTTATCGTTACACCAACCAAAAAAATATATTATGCTGAATACATTTGCTGATCAATGTATACCTTTGACAAGAAAATGGCAATTCCAAGTATATTTGGAAATGAAACACTCACATAACGTAATAATTAAAATAATTTATTCTGATGTATAAAAAAATTAACAGGAAAGCGAAGCATCAGCTCAGAAATGTACACCAACAACAAAAGTGCTAGACAAAAATCATACCTTGACATTGATACCCTTGTTTGCCCAACACACCCCTGAAAATAAAACCACCGTTATCTAAGTTAGTGCCACCCTGCTTTTTGTCTTACTCCAAGCAGCCAGTAAGCTTGATGAATGATAGCCCACTTCTACTAAATCATCACAATATTCAATGATAAACGAAACAAAGGATGATTAAATTTGTTTCGAAAAAACGAAGTGAATGATAGATCTCCGAAAAATTTTAACTTCATACAATCATTATACAGGGTGATTCATGAGGAGTGCCATATAGCCAAGTGGAGAATAGAGGAAATCAAGACAAGTTTATGTATGTATATGAAAAGTATTTTTGGCCATCTACAGGGTGTAATTTAATTGATGGCTGAAAATATAGGATATGGTCTCTTAGCTCATTTTAAGCAGAAAAGTTCATGTAGTTCAAGAGCCGGCTGCAAATGTCGACCGCCACCTGATAACGAAATGATATACAGGGTGTTTCATAAAAACCTGACCTCCTTACTAGGGTAGGTAGAACACTGTAAAATAAGTTGGGTTTACTCATTAAAAAAATTTCGTTACGGCATCCGTTATCAACATGACAAGGTGTTGAAAAAAATTTTTTTTTCCAGATTTTTCAAGATTATGTCGAAACTATTGGCAACATTGTGATGAAAATTTGTATGGATGTTTCTTGGAATCTGACACATCGCATGCATTTGTATTTATATCTGACTCTCATAGAGGGCGCTAGCTACACGGTTCGTATCGAATAGTTTTGAACATAACTTTTTTGGGGTTAGATTTTTCAATCCAAATTTGATGTGAACTTGAACATCATTTAATTTCACACCAAAAAGGTACTCTTGGTAAAACTTGATACTGTGTTCCGTTTTCGGAATATTTCGATTTGAAAATGATGAAGTGGTAACTGTTGCTGGTATAAATAATATATGTAATAGAGCGAGTATTATGAAAAATTATCACCTATTTATTGAAAACCGAAAACAACAATACATTTCTGAAGCTAAACTTATTGATTCAACGATGAATCACAAGAATAACATTGAAACAGATTTGACTAAGAACATGGATTACACAGTTTTGTTGTATCTAGAGCAGAAAGTCTAAGCTACATAGGTAAATTCACATCAAGAGTTGTAAGACATAATTGAACATCACTTAAATGACCTAACAGCTGACCCTCAACTGTTTAGAAGAATAATACATTCTTAAGAAAAGAATATAGAATCGTGTATTCGTCGTAGGACATTTTGAACACTTACTCTAACTGATTCAATATATCATGTTTCTAGTCAAATATTAATTTTCTACTTATGATTCTTTGTTCCATCAATTAACTTCAGCACAAGAATGATTTTATTGTTTTTGAAACTGTATAAATAGGTAATTCAACTCAATAAAATTCAATTTATACCAGCATCAATACTACCCCAATATTTTCAAATCGAAATATTCCGAAAACGGAACATAGTATCGAGTTTCACCAAGAGTTTCATTTTGGTGTAAAATTGACCAAAATATTTTTCATATACATACACCAACTCATCTTGATCTCCTCTATACCCCATTTGGCTAAGTGGCACTCCTCATGTATGTACAGGGTGATTCAGTTTTTTGTACCAGGAATTCAACATCTAGTTATCAAATCGCGAAATCTAGCGCAAATTTCCGCACAGGAAAGTGCAATTTTTTTATCATTTTGCTCAAGATAGTGATTGGCACAGGTGTTGTTCGATGAACTACAATGTTTTCACTTTGATTTCTCCTATTATTTCAATTAGAAATTACTGTAATCATGGAAACTTACACAGGGGCGTCGGTTTTGTCTGTAGAATTTGTATAATTCGAGTTAAATACAGAAACCACAAGATTTTTTGCCGAAAATTCATCGGAAAAAAAGATACGCAGAAAAAAATTTGTAAGTTTTCACAATTATCATGATATTAAGGAACATGCATAATTTATAGATTTGTTAAAATTATTATATTCCAACTCTAACACCATGATAACCTCGAATATTACCAAAAACGTGTTTCCAACTTAAGAAAAATGATATGAACAAGATCCAATTTTTAATTCACGAGAAAACGGATTGAATGGCTACCGGTCACGATTGTGATTAATATTATAAGACAACATACTGAGTCTGTCACGCAATCAAAACCAACACCCTACATATCACTTCAGCAGATAAATCACTGAAAAATATGCTCAAAAGTTGTATGCCATAACAGGTTAGAAATTAGTGGCAATAAATATACCTCAAGCTTTCAAAATCAAAGTTTCTGAGCAGTTTTTCATAAGCATAAGATCATTGATTGAAGAGTCATTTATGGGGGTTTGAAATTCAGTCACGAAATTATCGCTGCCGCTCTGCTATTGGTTGAAAATCTAAGAGATATAATATAATTATCTATCATCCACTTCATTAATTCATCAAATTTAATCACTCTGTATAAAGCAACAGTCTTATTGAAATCGAGAGAATATCAGGTAACTATGTATGTACCCTGTAGGCAAAATTAGTAATTTTACAAACCAACTCCAAAAGTATTATAGTTATTAAAAAATTTATATTCAACATGTTATGAATCCCATTTTGGAGGAAGTAACAATAGCACAATAGGAATTTCAATAGTGGAAAATTCAGAAATTATCAATTATATTTCGATTTCTTGTACTACTGAATCCAACCCTAAAATCATTCCAAACAAGAGATATTGAATCTATTCCATATGGGTGTTCATTATTATTGAAAATATAGATACTCAAAGCAAGTAAAACCATATCTGAAACGTAGTTCCTTTTCTGTGACTAGAAGTCTCAATAACTCCTACCAGATGTCACAAATACATATAAAATATTATGATTTGTTTGTGAATGATTCATCACAGTACAATTTATTTGGATGAGACTATTTTAATCTAGGGTAGGCTAATACCTAGTCAGTGTTGAATATCTCTGCTACTGTTGATCTGATTACACAGAGCTTGAAAGTTTTCAAAATCTACACTGAAGGCTAGAAACCGATATTAATTTAAGAGCTTTTCAAAACCTGTTCTAAAAAAGAATCGACACCCTATCGACCTCGTTAAATATCAGAAAACTAATTCCCAACTAGAAATGATACAAGCAAAGACATTGTTCATCAATTCATAGACATTCTATCTGCATAGCCTATCTGGAAGCCAGATATATGAGAAACTAAACATTAATCTAGCAACCCTTATGAACGATGACAAGTTAGTCACAAAGGCGGGTGGCGGAAATTTGATCGAAAGACAACTGATAGAAAAAACATTTGATAGAAGTCTTTTGATCGAAAATCAAAGAATATAAAGAACTTTTCACCGAAAATACATTTGATCGAATGTTTTATGATAGAAAATACATTTGATAGAAACATGAATCATAGAAAATACAATTGATAGAAAAAATATTTGATATAAAATACACTTCATAGAAACAGCATTTGATAGAAAATTCAACGGGGCTACGCTCAAGTTAGGTCAGTTCGTTTGTGAAGATATGATCCTTCCTCATATATTTGAGAAGAAGGAGCTAGAAGTTTGTGGTATCAATAAATTCGTAAGCTTCGATTTCCATCTAGCTCCTTCTTCTCAAATATATGAAGAAAGATCATATCTTCACAAATGGTACTGACCTAACTTGAGCGTAGCCCCGTTGAATTTTCTATCAAATGCTGTTTCTATCAAGTGTATTCGATCAAATGCATTTCTCAACTCAACTCAACTTTATTCATTTTGTAGACCATACAAGGTATAAAACAAGTCACAAGTTACATTTACATTTTGTATATATAGGTACACATATAAGAGTAAACACTAAACATACAATTTCATGAGTAAAACTTTTGAGAAATAGAGAAAATTGATAAAAAATAGAATAAAAAGTAGAGCCAGTACTAGAAATCCAGAAACTCGTCTACTGTGTAGTGACACTTTTTGAGCAGGTATTGTCTAAGAGATTTCCTGAACTCAAAGTATGTCCCTTGTTCTTTGATGATATGTGGAAGCTTATTATATATTCTGATACCACTAGATATTGGACCATTCAGTGCTATATTCAAATAGTTTTGAGGAGTATATAAGTGGTGACTATGTCTAGTTGAATAATTGTGAATACTGTCATTTCGAGGAATACAGTGTTTATTTTTATGAATGTAACAGGATATTTCCAAAATATAGAGGCGACAGAGAGGAAGTATATTCAATTGTTTGAACAACTGTTTGCATGAATCTCTGCGTCTCTTGTTCAAAAGTTTTCTAAGGCATTTCTTCTGAATAATGAATAACTTTAGTGATACAGGAGACATTCAAAAACACTTTCGATCAAAAGACTTCTATCAAATGTTTTTTTATCATTTGTCTTTCTATCATTTGTCTTTCGATCAAATTTCCTCCACCCCACAAAGGCAACCCCCAATAAGTGGAAGCATCAGCACAACTTACCAAATGAAAAGTTTACAGTGGGAACAAAATGTAGGCTGTCGTAGGAAAGTGGCCATGAACTTGTGGCCATTAACCTGATGGACCCTTCTACGCATAGCACCACGTCTCCTGTTGAAGCCCTGACGTTCTTTGAATTCTCTTGGTTTTGCGCCATATTCTGAAAATAATTTCGACGTAAGCAGTTCAGGTAATGACCACTATAGAAAGAATACAGAATACACCCAAGGGCGGTCATGTATCTTGATTTTTTTTTTGGGGGGGGGGGGGGGGGGCAGGCATTTTGTGAAATTACCTACTTACACAAAATACACATACAGTGTCATTCATAAAGTCGGCATCATATGGGAAATACTTTTATTAATGACTCATTTTGGAATTCGTGTTGGACGTTAAGTTTTGCTTCGAAAAATATGAAAAATGGCATACTCGATCGGGGTCACGTGACTTTCGCTACATGTCAAAAGTGACATTTTTTCAAATTAATCGCTGAAAGTAGGCTTATTTGTTCGAATATCAGAAAAGTTTACTTGAAAAAGTTGTTTCTATTGCAATTTTACACATTCTTCTCGAATTTGATCTTTCTATTGCATTTTTTAGATTTTGATTTTTTTTTTTAATTTTTCGAAAAGAATTGTTAATTCCACGAAACTACTTCATACCAGTAGCTTTTTCATGCTACTCACTTTCAATTACTTATTATCACTGATTATGGACAGAAATATGATTTTCTTCAGAAAATGATAATACCCGCTTCCAAATTCTGTTATGTTTGATGCAAAGTTGATATATCGTCAAGCGTTTAGAAACGAAATTCATTTAAACTGATCTTCTCAGTTTCTAAATGCTTGACTCAAAAATAACAGAATTTTGATGTTATGTTTGCATCAAACATAACAGAATTTTGAAGCGGAGATTATATCATTTTCTGAAGAAAATCATATTTTTGTCGATAATTAGTGATAATTAGTAATTGAAAGTTAGTAGCATGATGAAGCTACTGGTATGAAGTAGTTTTATCGAATTTACAATTTTTTTAATATTACAGAAAGGACCCCGCACTAAACTATAGGGAAAATGGCTCTCGATGAAAATCGCTGAATTTTTGGTATGTTGCAGACTTTGATATACTGAACAGATATTCCATTGAACTAACCTCAAAAAATGGACAGTTTTTTTGATATTGGCCTCCAAATGTCACTTTTTCGGAAAAAAAATGTATCTGAAAATGGTTGAATTTTTGGCATGTTGTAGATAGGAATGAACTGATTAAAAAATCCAATTGACCTAACCTCCAAAAATTGACACTTTTTGGATATTGACCTCCAAATCTAATTTTTTCGTAAAATAATCAATAAAACGGCTGGATTATGTAGGTATGTTGTAGATATGAATGAACTGATGAAAACACCCTATTGACCTTAACTCAAAAAATTGACAGTTTTACTCCTACTGACCCCTAAATGGCATTCAAACAACTGTATGAAAGTAAACCTTCAGAATGTTATTCTGTACAATTCCAAGGTTAAGAGAGTCAGGGAAAAATAATGCTTCATCATCATCGACGTTTCGTCCTTTATTATGGGGCATCCTCAGAAATCTATGAGTAAACCTACTAGAAAAATGAGTCGATTAAACTATGTTGCAGTTTCGATTTTCAAACATATCTACCTGAATATCCTCCTATAGGTGAGTAGATGGGCCTGTTTCAGGAAAATATTTCATTTTCATTCATCATTTTGAAGAACTAACCCAAACTTGTTCACTTGTTCACTTGTCAATTGTAAATAATTATTGAAATTTACGATATTTTATCTCATGAAAATCGCGGGACAACGCGTGTACATATTGTAAATAACTATTGGAATTCACGATATTTCATTACATGAAAATTGCGAAACAACGCGTGAAGTCATATACCGGGATCAATCCATTGCAAATATTTTATTTTATTCCATAATTTTGAAGACCTAACTCAAAAGTTGTTCACTGTCGCAAACCGTTTTCTGTTCAGATCTCTGTACATATTGTAAATAATTATTGAAATTCACGATATCTCATAACATGAAAATCGAGGGACAACGCGTGATGACGTTCTATACCGCGACCAATCCATTGCAATTATACTATACGATACGATTCATGTATTGTGTATTGTGTATACTTCAGTACACAACACTCCACTCCGACTATGGAAATAAATCCTCAATTCTATGAAGAATTCGGAAATATTCTCATTGGTTGTTGAGCAATAAAAATAAAAAGTGTTTATCGGTATCGGTATGTCAATGTCACGTCATCTGCGGCAAAAGTGTTGCTGAGAGGTGTGATTATTCTGATTATTTAAAAAAATATATTTGGTATTATTGTAAGTAATGAATGAGTGTATCGACTTCTTTTATAATAGATGGAATGATCGAAATAAAATAGATATATGGCATAAATTCAACTAGTGTGTATACCTTCAACCCCATCGACTCCGGAAATACTATACTATAACCATCTTTTGAATAATATATATTTCATTACATCCTCTCTTCGGCGTTCTTCACCTGTGGGTGTATCATATGGAGAAGATTTGTTTTTAGAAGAATGAAATGCCAAATACCAATTCGAAAACATCAACTTTGTCTATTGATTTTTGTTCCATTCATCTTATTTTCCATACGTACATTTGAAGATCAATATCGAAAAACTGTCAATTTTTTGTTAGGTCAATTGAATTTTTCCATCAGTTAATTCTGATCTACAACATACTAGAAATTCAGCCATTTTCAGAGATTTTTTTTTTCTTGAAAAAATTACATTCGGAGGTCAATATTTAGGAAACTGTCAATTTTTGGAGGTAATGTCAATTAGATTTTTCCATCAGTTCATTCCTATCTACAACATGTCAAAAATTCAACCATTTTCAGATACTTTTTTTTCTCGAAAAAATGACATTTGGAGGTCAATATCAAAAAAACTGTCCATTTTTTGAGGTTAGTTAAATTGAATATCTGTTCAGTATATCAAAGTCTGCAACATACCAAAAATTCAGCGATTTTCATCGAGAGCCATTTTCACTATAGTTTAGTGCGGGGTCCTTTAGAAAATTTCTAAAAAATATCGAAGTCTAAAAAATGTAATAATAAAAATATAAAATCCGAGTCACTTATGTAAAATTCAAATAGAAACAACTTTTTCAAGTAAACTTTTTCGATATTCGAACAAATAAGCCTACTTTCAGCGATTAATTTGAAAAAGTGTCACTTTTGACATGTAGCGAAACTCACGTGACCCCGATTGAGTAAGCCATTTTTCATCTTTTTCGAAGCAAAACTCAACGTCCAACTCGAATTTCGAAATAATTCATTAATAAAAGTTTTTTCCATATGATGCCGACTTTATGAATGACACTGTATACAAAACGCAGTATGGGATATTTTATATAATTGCAGTTATTCGAATGCACTGAAAATACTGACATTCTTGTTCTATTATATTTTTTTTCGTTTAACGATGTCCTTGTGGACATGCATTAGTGCGAGGACACTTAGCCGTTATTCGCCCATATTGGACATATTGAACCTCAGCCAACTCTTGTCTTGAGTCTCCTCAGTCCTGAAAAACTCCTCTCTGCAGATGCTACACTCACTGGAAGAGTACACAGTATTTTCAAAAATACACATATGATTGGAAACATAATTTCATCGCATTTTTTGAAAGAATTTAGTCCATCGCTAGGAATTTCTATTTCTTTACTTTGTTTCCATTTTATTTTTGACTTCAGCACGTCTCTATTAGATGTTTTAAATGAAGATCCGTATTTGGCAATCAAAATTTCAACGGCAGAATGCGTCGCATCTTCATTTGAATGGATTAATGAAGCAGGAATACATATTTCCAGATTGAATAACTCAATGGTTTCTTGTTTGAATCGGCTCTCAATGTCAGTAATAATATACTGCAGTAAAGAAATATATATCGTAATGCGAAAGTATTCTGAGGTGGAATGAATCTCTGGATTAGGGCGATTTTTCATGAATTTAAGTATTCTGAGGTGGAATGAATCTCTGGATTAGGGCGATTTTTCATGAATTTGTTCAATCTAGGAATTCGGAAATCTACGTTCAAATTTTCTAGACATGGCATGATTTCTTCAATCAGACGAACTAGACAAGCCCAGTCAGCACATCCTTTCGTTGTCAACCTCAATACTCCTTCATCCATTGAACGGCTAGGCTATGGAATTCATTGCCTGAGGAAGTTTTCCCAACAACATATAATCTCCAGAATTTCAAAAAAAAAAATCCAATACCTCGAACTCGAAAAGTGATGGTTGCTTGGCTGACCTCTTTGCAGCCAGGCATAATAATGTAATCTACAATATTTTTACAGTACAATCTGTACAATCTACAATATTTTTACAGTAATCTACTCTAAACAGGTATTGATTTGTTATACGTTCATGGCGTTTATTGAAATTTTTTTTATGAAATGAAAGCTATTTTCTGTAAATGATGGAATAACTCTGCCAATGCAAATATGGCCGCAGATAGGGGTTGCCAGCTGTTGAAGATTTATTAGACCGAAGAAAGTCATTGCGCATGCGTTTGAAGCAGGGTTCTCAAGCTATGGCGCAAACCGTAGTGAATAAGACCTCGGATCGAAGAAAATTAAATCAAATTATGCAGGTAACTTTTTTTAGAAAATTTGTATGATATCTGAGGAGAACGTCCGCAGATTCCACTGTCAGTAAAATTTCATGGTAATTATATTTTTTTATTTGGTGAAACTTCTTGCCCGCCAAAATATTGTGAGATATACACATCATCAATTACCATCAGAGAAACACATTGATGAAAAAAACTCCTATCCACGCGAATTTCGAAAAAGATGATATTTTCTCGAAATTTCAAAAAAAGGGGAATGTGGGGTTAATTCCTGCCCGACAAAATATTGTGAGATATAAACATCAAGTAGATACCATCTACCATCATTACCATCGCAGGAACACATTTATGGAAAATAACTCTCATCCACGTGTATTTTGAAAAAGTTATGAATTTTTTCCGAAATTCACAAAGAGGGGCCCTCTGGGTTTATTCTTCTCCTCGTTCTTGCCCGACAAAATATTGTGAGATATACAGATTATTAAGGCCCTTAGAGGAATACCATAATGGAAATAGTTTCATCCACGGCCGAAATTTCAAAAAAGGAGGCTTGTGGGGTTAATTCTTGCTCGACCGATAAAATATTGTGAGATATATAGATTATCAAGTACCATTGAAGGAACACATTCATGAAAAAAACTGTCCTTGACTTCATTTTGAAAAAGTCATTATATATTTTCGAAATTTTAAGAAAGGAGATTTGTGGAGTAATTCTCGCCTGATAAAATATTGTGAGATATAAAGATTATCAAGTACCATTACAGGAACACATTCATGGAAAGAAACTATCACCCACGTTATTTTGAAAAGTTATGATTTTTTTTAGAAATATTAAAATAGAGGGCCTGTGGGGTGGGTCAATTCTTGCCCGCAAAATATTGTGACATAATATACACATCATCAAGTTCCATCAGAGGAACACATTAATAGAAAAAACTCCCATCCACGTGTTTTTTGAAAGAGATGATTTTTTTCCGAAATTCACAAAAAGGGGTCCTGTGGTATTGTGAGATATGCAGATTATTGAGGACCTAGAGAGGAATACATTAATGGAAAATAGTTTCATCCACGTACATATTTTGGAGGTTCTTATAATGGGGAAGTTTCCTATGTTGAGGTTCTTATCTCATTGTGAAGTTTGTAAAAAATTAATATATACCTTTTTTTTCTTAAGATCAAATTTCACTTCAGAAAAAAATAAATAAAAGAGGAACTTGGCTCCTCCACCATTCCTATGACGTACTTTCTGAAAATCCACATTCACACAGAGATAAAATACCTACGATTCTCTGTGCCAGTACGACGTTGCCGACATCATCAATATGTCTAGATTTCCGGAAATTGTTGTTTGAATATAATAACTATATCATAACAGCAATGGGATATAATAGGTTCTTCAATCCTACTTTGTCAAGTATTATGAATAATTCACATTAATCTCTCAGTGGCTGAATGAAGTTGATTACTAATGAAGATGAATAATTTTTCACTATTGTTATATCACAATATGTTATTCATAACTTGTCAGTCATTTTTTTGCTAATGACTTCCTTCCTTAATCGAACGGATAAATTTTCTAGGAACGTTTCAGATTATATCTTGCAACAGCGCCTAATACTTCGAGTCTGTCCACACCATTCAAAATACTGATAGGCACAACAAGAGGAAGGAGCCATGGGTGTCGGCTTCATTCTGTTCTGACCGACGACAGTAAATTAAGGACGGTCAGTATCATTGAATGTAGCCGATAGTGATTCATTGATTCAATGATATGTTCGTTCAGGATCGAGCTCTATTCGAGATATTTCAATGCATAAATAACAGAACCATAACCTGTCAGAATGAAGCCAACTACCCTCTGCATTCCTGCTCCGAGTGCATTTGTGGTTATGTATGTTTTTGTTCACCAGTTTTACTTCTTCATTCGTTAGCTATTCGTTAGCTAGACTAGATTCATAATGTACGTCACAGTTTGCCGCTCCGCAGATTACCAATTGCTTTAATTTGAAAATGAAAACGACTTGTACTTTATCGGTCGCCATTCTGTACAGCGAGGACATAAAACTGGAGATTTCCATACTCAATTTATGAAATTTCATCTGAAGGAAACTTCCCCATTTCATGGCCAGCCACGAGGCGAAGTTGTGGCTGGTTTCACACACACAATATTGCAGTCGGATCCCGTACTACTAATAGACTCCTGAAAAATCGAATTAATCATTAGGAATCCTTATTTTGAACAACATTCGGGTGATTAATGCGCCTTTAGGCCAACATGTTTGTCATCAAAAATGTTCATATCATTCGTTTGACATACCTCACCAAATTGACGCTCCTTCCGGCTATGTAGTCAAAAACGCCCCGTTTACGAAAATATTACAAATAATAAAGTTGGGAGACTAATCAGAAGTCTCGTCAAAAGCCAATTTTGCAGTGATAGAGGAGTGGTTATAATTTCTGAAATAGGGTCCTGTAGTCCTGTCCCGTAACCGATTACGATTATCAATGTCTTGGATTTGCTGGCCTGGATTTGCCTATTCAGTCATTGAGAAAAATATTGTGAAAAACATTTGGATCAAATAGAGATCAGTGTTCATATGAAGGTCGAGAGGCATAATCTTGAAATCGGTCGTAAAAACGTAGATTTATTATTAACAAATGTTGAAAATGTTCTACATACCATTCGATGTAACTTTCAAATCTATCCTAATGTGCAAACGTCCTTTGGGCTCTAAATTCACCTGTAACAAGACAACAAATTGTTCGAGAATAGTCTAGAGAGGTTGTAAACAATATACAAAGTGATTGCACGAAAATTCATGGTCAACCCTCTTGGGCGAAATATAGAAACAAGTTTGTATAATTGTTATTTATGTATCAAGGGCATGAAATAGGCTTTCATGGACCTTCGCGTGTAAATAAGAGCCTATACGCCGGGCGATAAAGTAGTTCACAGGCACTAAAGGGCCATTTTACGCCCGCAAAACCGGGCGCCAAAGTGCTACTTAACGCCCGTTCGTCCACAATAGTTATTTATGTATCAAGGGCGTAAAGTAGGCGTTTATGGCCTGTGACGTGAATAATGGCCCGATGGCGCTAGCCGAGGGCCATTACACGCTGAAGGCCATAAACGCATTTCACGCACGTGATACATATAAAATTTTATGCACTAGTGGTTTATTTTCTGACTCAGAAGTATTGACTATAGATTTCGATAAACTAATATTCCCCCGAATTTAATTTGTTACGTATAAATTCAGTAATCAAGTGAAGCGTAATGTTCATGGATGATTATTTACATATGAAAATTATCGTACGAATATTGCAATTGTCGTAATAGTAAAACTCTTTGATCTCTAGAAGAGATTCATTCTTCAGAATTTTACAATATGCATACCCAGTATATATAGCTAACTAATTATGACGTTGTCAATCAAGCTGATGGTTGTTGTATATATCAATACATCCAATAAACGAGCTGAATTGTCATTCTCTGACTGAAAAGTAAAATTAGTGATAATAATAATAGCGAGACTATGGAATCGGATAAAGAAGAAGTTCATGATATACCGCTGGATATATTAGAATCTAGCAATATGATCATAGGTTTTTCTTGAATTGATATGTGGCTATAAGGTGACTGAGAACAGCGGGAGGTAAAGTGTACTTTACGGCCCGTGGGCCATAATGAGCCCGCGGGAGGTAACGTGCGACTTAACGCCCGCAAAACCGGGCGGTAAAGTGCACTTTACGGCCCGCTAGTGCATAAAGATAATAATGAACGAAAACGAAAAACGCCTCGTTTCCGCGAGATGGGGTGTTGAAATTTATATGAAAATTCATGATCATTATTAGGAGTATCTACTGATATTTTGTCCGGTTTCCATGTCGCAATTTAAACACCTCGCCGGTTTCAAAGTTATTTCGTTTATTGTTTTTATACAAATATCGTATTTCCAGTCAACAACCTTAATACTATTTTCAATTTCACTGTAGATGTTTCAGTTAAATAGTTGCAATCGGAATTCGGAATTGCCGCTTCAAAAAGAATCTGTCCAAACAGGAAATAGCGATGACAAATGTTGTTCTTAAAAAAGAACCAATTTTCAGTAATATTACAAGAGAATGAGAATGAATTGATATTATTTCTACAGATCTTCTAAAACTTGTTGCTATTTCTTGTGGCAGCGCCGTTCAAACAATTATGCGGACTAGGCGGCCGCCTAGGGCTCGGGTGCTCAATAGGGCCCGTTTGGGGCCCGTGAATATTAAATCGCCAGTAATTGTTTTGAGCAGCTACCTCGCGCTGTGAACCGTATGGCATACTCGATGGCATACAAATATACAGGGTGTTCCATAAGTAATCGATCAAAAGAAACTAACGATATATTTTGTTATCAAATTGTTGATGTTTCAAAAGTTATACAATTTTTCTGAAAAATGCGACCCATTCGAAAAAAATTAATAACAAAAAGGCTGTTTTGAATAACCCCATATGCTATACCATTTTGGAATCTGTATTAAATGGGCAACTTTTTTATTTGATTGGTTATCTTCGTGGGGTAGCATTTAAATCTGCCAGCGGCATTTGAAAATCGACTTAAATATTTCATTCGATGACAAAACAACATTTCCTCCAACTCGGCCTAACGGCCTCGTCCGAGGCCTCGTCGGACAATTTCACGTCGAGTGCAATGAACATTCACTTTTTGCACTTGTCGCATAAATAACTATTTTTGTAAAAAATAAAAATAAAAAAACAAAAATCTTGGTTCTGCTGTGTAAATACGAAGGCCACAGAAAGGAAGAAGAAAAATTTTGGTTGTTTGAATTTTTTACATAAATTTTGAGGTTATGTGAAAAAAGTGTAGGAACAAAGGTTATTGTTATTACCAACCAATGGACCTACCACTTTCCTTTTCCTTAAAAGCTCAACCCCTTCTAATTCCCAAAATATCTTCTCCTTAACCACCCTGTATCTCTTAAACCAGCAAAATTTTTATGATGCATGTTGGGCTAAATCTTTATGTTTGGGTGTTCACTATCTGTAGTTCATCAATTTCCAATTGTTAATATAATGAATAAAAATATTAAAATATTATAATTGGAACATAAATCTCTTCAAGACCAAATAACACAAAAACCATTGAAGCTAGACAGTTTGATAAAGAATACATTTTTCATGTGGAATTGAACAAGCATTCAGATTTTCTACTTGTTTTGATCATCAATGAAATACATGATGTAAATGGGCGTGCACACCTTAGTAGAACTTTTAACTCAAATCATGTTTATAATGATCCTTATATACATAAATAATGATTGACGACATAATTCGATCGAAAAATTAACTGGAATGTTTTATTTTTGGACATAAATATTAGTACCTTCTGAAAACGGACCCTCTTATGACGTAGAAACTTCATCTCGCCATATTAATTCTTTCAACTGTGATCTGGCGCTAATTCACTCTGTCAGAAATCATGTATCATTCATCTCTGTCTGGAATAGTCTTGTTTCAGTATTAGGGTTTTGACGTCACATCATCGCCTCGTTTTCAGAGGTCCGAAAAATCGGGGATTTCAATGATTTTTTATAAAACGTAGGGAGCTCACAGCAAGAAACGGTTTGCGGTGGTGAGCTAGTTTGGGTGAGTTCTATCAAATTATGAAACAAAATTTTTTTGTGATATAAGCCCATTATCGAAGTAACAGAGTGCCACTAGCGCCGTCTATGAGCAATCACAAAGTTAGTTGCAAATTCATATTCCTCATGTCAGAAAACCTAGAAATACAAGATTTCACTTGCACGCTGTTAAAACTAAAGAAGTTATTGGGAAATTTTGAAATAAAATTCCCCCCTAGAACATTCAACAACCAGCAACATTCTCATCAGGCATATTGGGCTAAATCTCATTATTTTCATGTTTACTATCTGTAGTTCAGAGATTTTCCATTCTTAATGTATCACCCTGTAGAGGAGAAACATGAAAGGCCCCAAAATGGACCCTTGTAGAACCCCTTGTTTTATTAAAGTTTGTTTAGATGTAAAATTGTTTCCTTTTTGCCTCGCTTTTTACATAATATTAACATATTGATATTGATTTTCCAGGTGAGAATTGAACGAATTCAGTTATAAAATCTCCAATGATTCTTAAAGTGATAATGTTATTACTCCAGAATCATTTGTGTCATGAATTTCAATCTTGACCAGAGACTTCTAGGATTTCCAACATAAGTGTTGACAATGTTGTCACTTCTCAGAATTTGTCTGAAATATTCTTAAAGAATGCTATGTTAGGAAAATCCCAGAGATACTCAATGTTGTTATAATTGAAATTTGCTGAATCCAGTGGTAGGGCGGAATTTTGAAAATTCCTAATGATCGCTTTTTAACATGAGAAAAAAACATAGTGTGCCCTGAAAATTGGAATTCAATTTTGCAAATTTGTGTAATGGTAGTTCATTTTAATAGTCTTTTTGCTGGAACACAAAAAAAAATGAACTGGTTGAAACCTGTAGATTTTAGAAGGGTGCTTCAGTCTCAAGTGGGTCACACTGTTAATTGGGTGAAAACCATTATTTCTTCATTTTTTAACATTCTGTATGGTAATAACTAGGGGTTTTCAGACCTATGTTCATCTGAATATTTGTCTTAGAATCATCCAGAGAATTAAATATCACACTGTATTCTATATATTATGTGTATGAATCAAAGGATGGAAGAATTGCTCAGTCATCTCCACAAATTTTAATTCAACAACCTAATAAAAATTGTGGAGTTGAAATAGTAAAATTATTAACTAGTAAATTTGCATGGCAATACCCTCACCAATACTTGACAGATACCCATAGCCAAAATATCATGTTTTAAATGAATATGCAGGTTCTCAATTGAGCTCTTTTCTACCTTGAACAAGAGAGAAGAAAGTTCACTCCTCTTCCATCTTTCTCTTCAGTGCTTGAAATTTAGAGAGATCTGATGAATTTTTCCTTGTCTAACATATACTCTGCACCACTGAACTATTATTTTTTAAATGGAATTTCGAATTATATTATATTTATTTTGACATTATTTGTGAATATCCTTACATTTGATTCTCTGTTAAGTTCAAAAATGGTTCAGTGGTACAAACTAGATGTTAGACAAGGACAGATTTATCTGACCTCACTATATTTCAATGCAGCTATGTAGGTATCATAAAAGAGAAAGATGGAAGAGGGGAGAACTTTCCTCTCTCTTGTTCAAGATAGTAAAGACCTCAAATAATGAATGGCCAGAGAGTCCCTACCTACCACCCCCTAATATGCCATACTGTCATAAATCAAATATAAATAAAAATATACATACATTTATGATAGCCCAGAATGGACCCCTTCTATGCTTCCAGTATTGACTCAATTGTCTGAGAGACTTGAGCTCTTATAAAATTTTAGTATTCAGCCTACTGCTAAATAGTTCATTTATATTATTATTTTTCATTGGCAGAAGAAAAATATCATTGGCAACAATGGCAACACTGCATTGCTCATAACAGAACTGGAATGGAGTATTGTAGATTGCAGGACTCACCCAAAAATCGGATTCATCTCTTTCTCTGTTGAGAAGATCCTCAAATGGAATGGAAACATTGGCGACAAAGACGTCTGGCGGTATAGCAGCATCATGAAATACCGTTAACGTCAGCATCTTGGCATGTTCCACTTGATGTTCAAAGTATTCATTCCAAACAGGATCAAATGTCTTCTGTTTGCTGGTGGACTGAGCAACAGGAGTATCATCTACATCAATGGTCACATAAGGATCCAGAAGTTGTTCGTCTGTCTTCCCGAAAGTGTGGCGTTTTGAGAAATCCGTCGGCCTGAGGCCCTCGGCCTCACATATTTTCACCCGTAAAGTTCCTGTGAACATGGCACCACTAGAATTGTACCCGTTTTGTCAACACCTCACCTTCGAAGAAACGAAATTAGCTACGCCAAAACGGCATTTAACACTTTAGAAACTACATAAGGATGTTAAGAAAAACAAATTCACAATAAGTAACTCAACTGACAGCCATGAAGGTCGAGTCTCGATTTTCCTTTACGGATTCTTCGTCCTTTGCCCCTTATTCTCTTTCTCAGTTTCTCATGCTTTTCTACATTTACGAAAATTCAGAACCAAAATCGTTGTACAGGTTTCTTTTCTGCTGTCAGCAGAGATCACGTTGTGCAGAGACGCAGACATGAGATGAAACAAGATTTTATATTTTTTTTCGGTAGATGTCAGGATTTGTATATCTTTAACAAGGTTGGTAGAACTGATGATAATTTGTGTGGTAGAGTTCACTGCCACTAGAGTCAAGAGTCACAACACAACCGTCCTGCGATAGAAGGACTGAGAAGCAGAAGCTGGCTGGCAACATGCTGTATGCTCGCAATAGTATAGTGGCAATGGATCATAGTCCGTTTATGATCTAAGGACTACTCTGGATGATACCCCAAATAACACAAGAAATTGATGACAAAAAACTTGAAAAAAATAGGAAGTATGAACGTAACCTAACGTATTACCTGATGTTTGGGTTCAAAATCACAAAAATCTTCATGTTCATGTCTTCTTGGAGTTCTCGGAGTGTAAGCTTGGTCTATTTGATATATAACTAGATAAAGAGCTGCTTGCTGCTTCCTCTCTTCAATAATGTCAGATGATATACCAGTACCAAACAAACGCAACAATCGAAAAAGAAAGAAGTCATTTTTGAAAAATGCTAGAAAGTACGGAAAAAAAGGTTATTATGGAAGAGGTTCACAATTGGATTCTGACACCTACCAATACTTCATACGAATAATGGAAACGTATAGAGAAGGTTTTGAAAATGAGGAAGATAAGATAGTGTTTGCCAATAATGTTTTTGAGCAAACTGAAAACCAGGAGATAAACTGTAGCAGCAACCAAGTTGGATGCAGGGTAATTGAAATGTTGTTACCTTTTGCTAATGATAATGTTATGAAAAGATATATGGAAGCATTCAGTAATGAAATCAGGCCTTTGTGTAGTGACCGCTTTGCCAGTCATGTACTAGAAGCTCTTGTGAAACAAACATGTGAAAAATCATTGAAGACATTGGGAAGTGCTGATACTTCAGAAACCTATACTCAATTCACCATCAAAATAAGCAAATTTTTATTGAACAATCTGGAAGATTATATGTGGGACACTTATGGTAATCATATCATTAGGACTTGTCTCAGAAGTTTATCTCAAGTATCCAATGACACAAATGGAAGTGATATCAATTTCAAACCTCTGAATATTCCAAATGATTATTCAGAAATTGTCAGAGAATATGGAGAGAGGATTATAAACTGGCCACAATTCAATGAATTATGTAATTCTGAATTAACATCTGGATTCTTGCAAGATCTACTCAGATCATTGAAAAATGTGGATGTGAAATTGATGAAATTATACATGAAAAAACTGCTAAAAGAGATTTTTGCAGCAAAAACTCTCAATGGTGAACAAGATTGCATTGATGTACTACCACCTGCATTCTTATCAACATCAGTTCTCATGTTATTAGAAACTGCTTTGCAACTGTCAAAGCCAAGAATGTTCAGCAAATTTTACCAGAATTGTTTTGCTGGGAGATTGGTAAAATTGGCTAGTACAAGAAGTACTAATTTTGCAGTTCAGAAATTATTGACATGTTGTACAGAGAAATCTGATTTTGAACTGATATTTGAAGAGTTGGTTGATCATTTGGATGACATTATTCAAGCTGGTCATATGGGAGTGATACTTTGTATTGCACAAGCTTGCAAAAGATTATCTTCCAAACAAGGAAGTTTTGTACAAAGTATGATGAAAATTTTGAATTGTTCAGAGCCTGAAGAAAGACAAATGCATTTCCTATTGTGCTTATGCAGAATGGTTAAATTTGAAGATTGTAAAGGAACAGAGAGTCTGCACAAGGAAAAGTTGAATTTGCATGGTACTCTCATTATTCAAGTCATGTTGGATTATAACAAACCTATCAAGATAATAAATAGTTTACTTAGCTTGGAAAATAATGACCTGAAAAACTTATTTATGAATAGCATGGGAAGCCACATCACTGATTCCTTTGTTAAAGGACTGTTTGTTGGAGAAAGAAGCAGAGAAAAGCTGATCAAGAAATTATCTGGCACATACCAAGATCTAGCAGCTTCAAAGTATGGATCAAGAAGTTTTGAAGCTTTATGGAGTGTTGCAAATCTGAAAGATAAATTGAAAATTATGGAGGAACTATCTTATAAAGAAGGATCCTGGTCTAATTCTGAGTATGGAAAGATCATTGCTGGAAAAGTAAATATTGTTCTATTCAAGAGAAATAAAGAGGATTGGAAGAACTTTTTGAACAACACAAAAACTGACAAAATATTGGCAGAAATTTTAAAATAACATTGTAATATAATAAAATATAGGGCACATACCTAGATGTGAAAACTCAATATTATTACCCATCAATATTCATCAATTATACAAAAAAAAACAATTCAAATCTAACATTATTTATTGATAATCAATTACTATACATTAGAAAGGACCAAATACAATTCAGAAATGATGACTCATTTTTAATCAATTATATGCTTTTAAAGCTGAACCCTTTCAATAATTATCAATCTAATGAATAAATTATGTATTCATCAAACAAAAGATATGAATAAAATTCTAAAAATGAAAGGTCATGGAAAAAATTGTTGTGCTTATTAAAATACAAAGATTATGATTAATTTGCCATGTACTTTCATCAACTATCATCTTATATTACATATGAAATTACTGGAGAAACTCTTAATATATATCCTAAGACTAGTACTATACACACTGTGTAAAAGGTTTGATAAATAAACTGGACAAAAACAAATAGGTTGAATAAATATACATAAAACCCTCAAATAACAAACTTATTTTAATAATATATGAAACTAGTTTGCACTACAAAAATTTGTATATCAGCTACATCCTTTACTGAATGTTTTTAGCCAATGTGAATTATTCTGTATACAGGGTTAGTCAATAGTGTGTTCACAGATGATATATATATAATTCTATATACAATTCAGTGGCGGCACAAAAATTATTTGCCGTTATATGTTACTCAAAGAACAGTGGCATTGTATATCTTGAACTTTTAGGAATTGAAAAAAAAATGTTTCACGGTAGATTTCACCTTAGACGTTTACGGAGAACGGGACATAAGATCATTCTGAAAATTTGGTTACTCAAGTAATTGCTCTTGATCTATCGATCTAAAATATTTTCAGCTCTGCGGCGTTGCCGCTTCTATCGAAAAGTTGCAACAACTTTGTTATTTTAAATGGAACACCCTGTATTTTATTGCATCTTCAGATTCTCTCTGAAGAGCTGATTTCATCGATATATCACACTTGGGGTCTAGCGGAAATGATTACAGAGATATAGGGTGTGAAAAATCGACATTTTTCAACTTAAGGAATTTTTTTTGTCGAAACTATTCATTATTGGTCAAAACGGCTTACATGTCCCTATCTCAACTTTTGATTTACTATCTACTGATATTTAATTGGGACATATACCGGGTGATCAAGAATCTGAATTCTGCACCACCCTGTATTTGTTTCAATTAAATGTCAGTAGATAGTTGATCAAAAGTTGGGATAGGGACATGTGAGCCGTTTTGACCAATAATGAATAGTTTCGACAAAAAAAATTCCTAAAGTTGAAAAATGTCGATTTTTCACACCCTATATCTCTGTAATCATTTCCGCTAGACCCCAAGTGTGATGCATCGATGAAATCAGCTCTTCAGAGATAATCTGAAAATGCGATAAAATACAGGGTGTTCCATCTAAAATAACAAAGTTGTTGCTACTTTTCGATAGAAGCGGCAACGCCGCAGAGCTGAAAATATTTTAGATCGATAGATCAAGAGCAATTACTTGAGTAACCAAATTTTCAGAATGATCTTATGTCCTGTTCTACGTAAACGTCTAAGGTGCCATCGACCGTGACCCACCCTGTATATTTTGGAAAAAGTCTGTAGGTTAATTTGGATGAGTATGGTTTTCATTAATTTCAAAGACGTCTGCATTTTATAGATAATTAAAATAATTTGGCAACAGGCAGTGTTTTCAAAAACAGAAAACTGATAGAAAGCAATATCATCACAGAATTAAGTTCCGTTAAAATATATAGGGTGTTTCATTTGAAAAAGTACAAATTGGTATGCCAAAGGTAGCTACCACTCACGAACATACAATAACTTTATGAAGCTCACTTGAAAACAACATCCTAATGAATCACCCTGTAATATTCAAAATGGCGCTCTAGAAATTAATAGAACGAGGCTTCAAACTCTTGGTTTTCAAAAAACGATGGGCTTTTTCAGTCAATTCCAACTGATCTTGGGTTTGGCCACAAGCTACTGTAACCCACAGGTAGTCAAGCTGAAACAAATTCAAAAGTGAAATAATATATAATTCACAATTTGCATGCTGTCAAGGAATACTAAGGTACCTACTCTACATTTTCAAAGTCAGTATATTAGTAGAACCAGCAATTTATCAATAATTTTGTATCAACACTCCCCTATATTACTCTTGAAAAGTGAATAGTTTATTGTTTCCCTTAATATAATCACGGAATTGAAATTTCCTATGCAATATAGACTGGCAACTGGATAATATACATAGGGAACGTAATTTTCGTAAATATATGATGAAAAATACGAAGATCTGGAATACCTCTATATTAGCTAGAAGTTTATTTACTTGGTATTCACTTTCATTAATTTTGATGATAACCATATATTGAACACACAATGATACAGTGATGGATTAAATTTTTTTATATTTTAATAAATCTTATTATATCCCAAAAATTAATGGCTTCTCTGATGAGTGGAGTGGAAAATATTTTTATCATTCCCACTGCACTATCCATCTTTCACGCCTGAAATGTACACAAGTAATTTTGCTCTGCCAAAAATATTCCTCAGAAATATTGTGCTTTGTTTTGGTTTTTCCTAGATTCTTCATAGAAGTTTTCTGGGACCAGGTTAGATTCTACTGTGAAAATACAAATGGAACTGTTCTGAAACTGTGTTATAAGAAGAACTCAAAGATTTATTATCCTAACATTTCATAGAAAGAACTACATTTTTTACGCCAAGCATTCCGTGAGAATGATATGAAGTACTTCATAATGGCGATGCCTTGATATTGGTGTGGATATGATCAACAAATAGGTCTTAGAACTGTGAAAGAAAGGATAGCAGTTTAAATTGCCTAGTTTCTTGCAGGCTTGGCACTGACAAACCATGTCAAATTTAATTCCACAAATAGTTAATGAAAACTACGAAAAATAATGTTGAATTACCCCTCAGACCTTCAAACCACTTTTGTGGCAACACCGCTACGCTAGCAATAGCTATGCGAAATGCCGAAGATGTCTGTCAAATTGCATAGTAGCGACACAAAAAATTATTGATACGAGCAACACGGCGTTGTCGCTTCTCCAGCAAAAAATTTATGAGGCAAAATAGAATAGTTTTATGGTAAAATATCCCAGTCTCTTATTTGTATATTTCAGTTCCAGTCAGTTATAGTATCCTACAGTGAACCAGAATCTGGTATTGTATGATAGTGTTTGAATCTAAAAAGTACTGCCCCATTAGGATAAATGAATCTGGGCAAACCTAACCTTAGAATTTATACCTTTTACCTACTCACCAATGTATTTACTTGTGAGCGTTAGTAAAACAATACAAGCATTGGTGGCAAATTCAAAATATTACATCGAAATATCAAAAATTACCTTTGTCAAAGATGGTTATTTCTCAAAATAATTATTAATTTCGGATGGAATTTGTATCTTGCATGTATTGTTAAGGAGAATCATTTTCCATTTTGAGATCACTTTATTTTTGACAAGAGATACTTTTTGATATGTTCACATAAAAATTAATTTCATCACCTGAGAATATCAACATAGACATTTACAGAAATCTAGTGCCAGTGGTTAAACCAAAGTGTATAGGGTAATTTGGGTGTAATAGCATATAATTTACGAAAATATAAATCACAAATGCAAATATGCAACATCGATAAGAGGATGCATCATACATTACTGCCATTTCGTCTTTCCCACTTTTCATGGTCAAAAATACATTGTTTCAATAACAAAGAATATGACACTGTGCTTAATTGAAATATCTGGGGTTTTAGGGAACCATTTTTCTAAAAACATACTATTTATTCCAAAAGAATCAATAAGCTTCAAAAAAACACTATCTATTTCAAACTGAAATATTCTGAATTCATTCCGAAAATTCAATTTTAGACCATTGAAAAAGCAAGCAAACAAATAATAGTGAAGTTTGGGCATTTATTTTTATAAAGTTTTAATAACTGAAGCTTAGGTCAGTAGTATCAATACAAAGGCTAAGATGAACCGGTTTTTGAGTAGGTAATCATTACAATGCATATTAAAAGAAGAAAAAACAGCAGGGGTACACTTCAAAATTATCTACTGGAATTATTCAGAAGTCCACCAGCAAACTTTGATGAAATTTGACAGTTATCAACATTCAATAAGGTATTGTACAATTGTAGAAATTGATAGGGTGTTTGTAATTTATTTCCCATTTTTAAATATTGTTTGAATTGAACATTATAATATGCTAGGTGACTTATGATAATGGTTCTGTGATTTTTCTTACTTCACTAGGGTGGGTTAAAGTTATACTATTGAACTGCTTTGGAAATGATTGAATAAAAACAAAGAATGTTTGATAGGAAAAATATTATAGCAACTAACTCGTTTTTAGTTTTCAAAATAAGACTCCGTCAATGGTGTCCGATTTTGCCCACCCTGTACACATGCAGATAGAAGAATATCCGAAAGTGTTCCTTAGAGTTGATGTCGAGGATAACGATTGAAGAAAGAATAATAGTAATTTTCACAGGAAATAGAAATAATATTCTTAGAATTCACTAGAGCAGACCCCAAAGTTCATTATTATCATTATTGTTTCCCTTGATGCTCTCCACAGACGAGATATTTTGTATTTATATTGAGAAATCTATCAGATGTTGAATATGACCAAAATTTCGGGCGAGCTGATCGATAGATCCGAAAGTATAGTCAGAGCAAGTCATAGGCTCACCTTTGGAGCTTTAGGCTTAGGGTCTTCGAAGCTGATCCGCTTGGCTGCGGTGCTGCGTAGGCCTGAGGGGACTCGATTTGAGGCACTGGCTGGGAGCAGGCACTGCCAGGACAAGGACATTATGCTACAATACCACCACACATACAACCGTTCATAACTACAACCCAAGCCTTACGTGAAATCCCCAAAACGAACAACAGAAAACATCCAAGCATAATAATATATTATGTAAGTTTGGATGGAATATCGCGAAAAATATTCCTTGAAGCAACACTGCAAATGTTTTCTGTTAGCACGCAGATAAGAAACAAAAAACATCAAAGGAGAGCAAACTTTGGTAACTTAAATATAGTGCAAGAACAAACATAGATCATAATTTCAAACAAACAAAAATGGTGCAATAAATATAAAATAAAATCTACAAGTAGATAAAAGAAAATAGTACACTGACTACAAAAAAAAAAACAACGAATATAGATAGTGCAATTATGCAACACAAGAGAGTGTTTACAACATTCTATTACTGTTTTAAACATGTAAGTTATAATACCTTAGACCGAGGAAAGTCTACAAATGTTCCAAAGTAAAGTCCTTGACTCTTTGTTTATTTTGACTCTGTCAAATTGAAATAAATAGTGGGGGCTTAGCCAACTAGAAAAATGACTACTTATTCTCTTTAGAGAATATAATCATAAACTTGTATCCTCGATTCAAAGTGTTTCCTCATAATAAGCAATAGAATGTGGAAAATCATAAGACATCTAGTAACAACACAAATAACAAAATATATATATATATTACTATAAAACGTTCTTGCAGTTATATCATAATGAATTATGAAGCTTTTTCATCAATTAAAAAAAGAATATGAAGCATTTAAAGTATACTTGCGCTTTCAGTGCGATGGTGTAAGCTGTTGACAGGTAAAGGATATAGAAAAGGTTGCGGTCACTTTGGTTTATTAAATTACTGATATTTGTTTATTACAGACTAGAAAGAAGATAGGCAGGTAACACACACTACATATAACAAAAAAAGACCCAAAGAAGTTTGGTATGCAGTCAAAAGAAATGCAGAAAGTGCTTTGTCATGGTTATGGAACAAAAGTCATATATAAACTGACATCTGAGCAAACTGAGAAGTTATTCTTGATCATCACACGAGTCAACTTCAAAGTTAAAAATGACAATAAAAATTACCTAGGATCTCTCAAAAGTACAAGTGCTCTGTGCATCTGAAAATGGAACCACCCTTGTTTGTTTCTACAGGCTGTCTTATAAAAAATGGTTCAAAAAACATCACAACTGGTACAATGTTATTTATAGAAAAACGAACTATTTTCACTTTGTTGGATTCAAAGTTCAAAAAATGAAATTTGATATTTGTACACAAGTGGATACAAAATGAATGAATTTTTTATACTGAAAATTGAGCAAAATTTCACTTAAGGATTTTCCCTTCAAAAAAATATTTGTTTTAAATGACGATAAACTGCAGCATGAAAAACATTTCTCATTTCAGAGCCTATTATCTGCTTTTATTGTACCTAACATTTGTTAATATCTCCAAAAACTGAGGTCAATGGAAAGGGGCCATTTCAAAAGGCACACCCAGTACTATAATACTTTAGATACAGGTGAATAGAATTCATATGATAAAATCATTCTTATTAAACATATTGATGTCATCTACTCTGACAGAGAAGTTTAGAAATTCGCCTTTCAATAATTGGAAAATGAGTTCACCATATTCATCTGTCTCTGGATGCTTTGGGATTTTTGATAGTACGATTATTGTGCTATTAGTACAACTATGTTAATTTTGAACAATATTTCAGAAAATTAGAATGAAAACTTTTGATGCTAGTACCACTATAACAAATTTGAAGCCAGCTGAATATTCAGGATTCACGCAGCTAGTAAATGGAGTGGTAAATATATGTATTATTACCAAAGGCCCTAAATCCCCTGGACAAAGATTGTGGTCCCTAGGTAATAATCAAATCATATACAGGGTAATTCAGGTTTTAAGACACAAACTGAAATGGGAGATAGATCTCATCATTTCAATCAAAAAAGTTTATATAAACATTAGTCCGATCTTGTTTAGTAGCGGAGCTACAGGGGGTCAAAGTTTGATTATTTTTTCCCTATTAATTGAAATATCTCGCTTACTTTTCAAGATATCATCTTGAAAATCAGTGTGGTCAATACTTCCTAGAAGATCATCATTTCAAGCCAATTAAAGATTTCCAAAATTTACAGGGTGATACCTTTTTGGGGGTAGAGGCTTCTTTATTCCCCCCAAACTTTTTCGTAGTACGCCTCTGGCATCTTTCAGTAATCAAATTGTGTGTATCGTTGAATTTAGAGGTTTTTTCTGCTCATCAATTTTTTTCCAGAAACGATCCGTTTTTTGAGATAAATAAGCATATATATACGTTCTCATACATGTTAATTTTTCGCATAAATTTTATTTAACTGAAAAAAAACCTTGACTTTCTACCCTCCTCCAATTTCAGTGAGTACATTTCATTGAATTTTCAATGAATTTTGTCAAAGAATAAAATTTAAGCGAAACATAGGCAAAATTAACATGTTTTAGAACGTACATGCTTATTTATATCGAAAACGGTGCGTTTCTAGAATAAAATGAAGGAGTAAAAAAAGCCTCTAAATTGAACGATCCAAACAATTAGATCACTGAAAGATACCAGAGGCGTACTGCGGAAAAGTTTGGGGTGGATAAAGAAGCCTCTACCCTCAAAAACGTATCACCCTGTAGCTTTTGAAAATCTTCGACCACACCCAATTTCAAAACGATATCTTGAAAATTAAGCGAGATATTTCAATTGATAGAAAAAAATAATCAAACTTTGACCCACTGTAGCTCCGCTACTGAATGAGATCAGACGCCTTAAAACCTGAATCACCCTGTATAACAGCTGGGCCAAAAGAAGTCATCTGATGTTGTTCGGCTTTCAGATTTTTTCTAAATGAAAGACTTCGATTCTGTTTTTTGATTTATGTTTACATAAACATAATCAAAAAACAGAATCGAAGTCTTTCATTTAGAAAAAAAATAAAAGCCAAAAAACATCGGATGATTTCTTTTGGCCCACCTTGTACTACCTACCATGCCATATAATAACGTTTTTATTTGATTTCCTGGTCAATTTCTGAATGAATCCAGAAAGTCAGCTCACTTGCCAAGTTCAAGAGGTATTGGAACAAATTCGTCTATAGTGAGCTAGCTGATTAAGCTTGATATTTCCATCACCTTTAGAAGACCCAAAAAAAAGTTGCGGAAATGAAACACTAAAAGCTCAATAACTGCTTCCATGAGAAAACAATATTTTGAAATCCCAGACCAAACAGAACTTTTTTTTCAATTAGCTGTAAAGCTGCTAAATTATCACCTAACTAACATGCATCAAAAAAGTGAAAAAATATGACAATACAGAAATAGAAGAAATTTCGAGAAAGAGAAGTAGACAATAACCTATAGAAGAAAATTAATCATTCGAGACATCAGAAGCTAAGGCCAAGTACAATCCCCCATAACAATTCTATTTCAAAAGGGTTAATGAAGGGATGAAGGTTCTTTTTTGGTGTGGGACAGGGAATATGGTTAGGAAAGGAAATTATTATCTCCAAAATGAAACCATCCAAGTACCTTGGAGGATCCAGAATGCGGAGGCAGATCCATTAATCCAGTCACTCCCAATGAATCTTTCATTATTGACGACGGGGTAGAGAACAAAATTGACGTGTCATCACCCAACGATTTACTCTGAAACAAATCATAACGGAATTCACACTCATTATTCCTTGTATCTACTACTGGAAACATTTCAAACTAATTGGGAGTAATCAGGAAAACAGGTTGTTACGAATTTGATTATATTCATGGGGATCTTGGGAAACGGTAGTCAATTCAAATCCATATTTATTGCTTCCAAAAACGGAAGTTTTACAGCAAGAGTTTGAGGGTCTGACATAATATTTATAATGAGGCTATATCTTATTCCTATGGAAGGTGAGTGCCTATGAGGAGACACACGGCGTGTCCAGAATACTACATTACCTGGCCCTAAAGGATACAGAGGTGGCTAGAGATACAATTAAATAGTATATTGTTTAACAAGCACGAAACGATAGACATCTCCCACGAGAATGAAGTTTGCAAATCATACGAGCGAGAAATTTGCATTCCTTGCATGTCACACACTATACTTGAGGTTTTCAGTTGAGGCTTATGATACTAGGACACAAACATACCTGTCATAGCTGTCAATTGATTACAAAAGAGCGCAATCTTTGAATGTTCCAAATATAATTTTCGATGAATTTTGCCTTGTCGACAGTTATATTTTCTGAAATATGAGTAATATTTAAGGACGTTTGAAGTAGACATTACATACTATCAACTTAGAGTTTAGCAATGATATCGAGCAAATAATCCACCAAGGGCTTATATCAAGTGGAGTGACGTCGAGGTTACCTCTACAGAAGTTTAACAGACCGCCACTGGCTCTTCCGACCGATTTCTCCTTCAGGGCGCAGGAATTTAACACTATACGCATACATACAATTTGGAGATTTAGAAACGGTAGTCAAAATCAAAATTGAGGCAAAGTTGTCCATCAAAGTATCCAAAAATGTCCGATAACTTTCCGAAATATTTCTTAAGTTCATTTCATACCGTCAGTAGCAGAATCTCAACGTTTCTTCACACAACTGCCAACACAAAATTATTTTTTCAAATAGGTTCATTTATTTTTCATTACATTCTTCGAAAGCTTTGAATATCCTATAATACCACACAATTGCATAAATTCCCATAGAAATTTTAAACAATTGAGAATGATTATTTGTGCCAGTCCTCTTATTGTATTAGTATTCATGTTTAACAAACGTACATTCATTTCCTTTTCATCTTTCAATAAACCTGAAGCAGAACGCCCTGTATAAGTATCGCATTTTCTGAGGAATCAGTGTTTGTGCCAGTTACCTACCTATGATTCGCTATTGTTTTCGGGGTATTCCAATAGATGGAGGAAGAATGTTCATTTGGAAAACTTTAAATAGATCCTCCCTTGTTTTTGTGGCGCTAAGGCAAAAACGCACTTGGTATCGTTTGTTCTGTTGTTTTGCACCGATTTAGTGCCAGGTAAAGTAGTTACTCTTTATATTTTGCACGTATTCGAATGGTGCCTTATGTACATCTTCCAGATTTCATATACTACATTTTATTAACCACGTTGGTGGGTGGTTGACAAAATAAAACCACATACAACGACTCATTTCGCGACCTGAAACTCCCCCTGAGGATATTCTGTTACAAACCAGTGACTGAAACAGTAACCAAATCAAGGGAAAATAAGTCATTATTTTCATTAAAAAAAAAAACACTTGAAAATGCAACCAAATGTACAGTCGTCTTCAGAGATCATGTCGAACATGGACGGTGTCAGCTCCCTTGATCACCATTGCGCACATACCGTCCAACCGCGACATGTTCGTTGAAGACGACTGTACTTGCTTATAGGAGACTCCAAGCTGTGGTTTCTTAGGGAATTCTTCTAGATATATCTCAGAAGCGCTTGCTTGCACTGGAACTTGATACTTGTTATGTTTGAGTTTTGATTATGGTAGCTTTATTTGGATTTTTTGTATTGTTTGTTAATTTATTTATATGTTTATAATTATGTTCTTATATCCATCCAGATAATTTTTTTGTCATGTTACAAATGTACAATGTACATAGTGTGGTAAGAAAGGGTGTTCCATTTAATCAAAAGTTTTTGTAATGTAGTAAAAAATGAAGGTCAACATTGAAAATTAATTTGATGATGGCGGATTCTGAATTTTCCCAATGTCTTCCTACTATCTAGAAAGAATAAATAAAAATAATAGAATTTTCTCGTATGTCTCCAAAAGTAATTCAAAACTTTTTGGATATCTAGAAGGCATTCAAACAGAAACCTAATTACGCAACTACGCCTCTGAATGAATGTTGCCACATCTACAGTTTTCAAGTTCCCATGAATATGAACGAATTTGTAACAACCTGTAGATCATGCATCTGATAGGTTACTTACAGGGGTCTCGATGGCAAAGGAGATGTCTGATGTGTTCATTTGGGAGGAAGAAGCCGCCCACGATGGAGCGAGAGCTTTGCGAACTTTCTTGTTTGGAAGAACATTTTCTTTTTCAGCACCAGAACCACTTCCTTTCCTCTTTCCAGTCATATATCCACTATCGTTCTATGAAAAAAATACATTTTCACACAAATCGAAGGAAACACAAAGTCGGCCGACCAGTCATATGAAGTAAAAAATTGTCATACCTATGAAAAAGGGATGTACAGCCATGGATTTCACGATTCCAACACTCGATATCATGAAATCTAATAAAGCTACTTTGAAACAAAGTATTTGAAGGGATATAGTTGTCTTTAAAAATCCCCTTTCAACCTACGTGTATGTGTGTATATGAAAATATAATTGTTTCATTTCATCACACAAGTTATTCTGATTCCCAAAATATATACTTTTCATATATTCCATACCACAGGAAGATAGGAAGTGAATCAAATTCGAAAAGTCACATTTGACTACAGGAAAAAAATTTGAAATATATAGTTTGGCTTCTCCACCATTCTGATGACATACTAATCTCCTTAATTTTCATTATGAATGTTCAATAAAATGATAGCTGAAGATAAAACATACACACATACTGCAGTAGCATAGTTATAATGATTATGACTTCAAACAGTATTACTGACAATAACAGTTTGCTACTGAAAGTTTAGTACTATGGAATTTATCAATAACGGTTTCCTAATGATTTATTTTTCAGGAATGTTATAAAGTATGTGGCAACAGCGTATTATTCTTCCAGCCTTAGTTCCAGCCCGACTTAATGTTTACACCACGCCCAATTTTGAGTACATGTTATCTTCTTCTTTTTCTTCTAGCTTTTCAGTTCGGCGGCTATACTAACGTTATTCACAAACCTATCAAACCTATATTCTATATTAACCTCATATTCATTTTCTACGTCACAGTTTACCGCCTAAAAATCATTTATTAATGTATTTCAAGAATGTTGAATCGTTTTTATGGTCATTCTAGAGATAGTAGAAATATATTACTGAATAGAGTCCGACCACGTTAACTTTGGGACACCACGTGATTCAAAGCATATGCTTATTAAATGCATATATGACCACGTGCTGTCCCAAATTTAACGTGGTCGGATTCTAGTTATGAACTTATTAGATGAAAACATGTCCACAGGAAACTTTCTCATTGAAATTCACAGTGGCCGCTAACTGGAATCGAAAAATTACCAAGAAGAATCAATAAATATCAGATTTTACTTAATTAAAATAAGTGAATAAATGTCAAAATGTGTTAAAAATTGAAGAACTTCATGTTGATTTAGTGATTGGCCAATTTTATTGTTTCCTTTGATTCAGGTATATAAATTTGTACCATGTAGAAATGGACCCCTTCCATGAAATAAAAATACAATATCATAACAGTTACACCACAATATATCAGCTCAATTTGAAGTTACCCTATCTCTTTTCATTTGAACTTCTTTGTGCAATTGTATTCCAACTCGCTTCTGTCATGCAAACAATTCACCTCTTTGGTTTAACCACTCATCGAGTCATTAGTGTGTTAATTATAATGAAAGCGTTAGGACTAATGCGATAACTTACAGTGACCACCATACTGGAATCGGTATCATAATGAGAGCTGTCCTGGTCCTTTTTCATTATTTCCGTGATATCTTCCAGCCTGGAAGAGGGCGTGTCGGGAAGATGGGTGATTGGTCCAGACTTTTTCTCGAGATCGGCCAGGGCCTTCTTGAATGGAGTGGGAGTGCGAGGGGTGTCGCTATTAAAGCGCCTACTCGGCGTTGACACCTCCGTGGAACATGAAGCTGAGGCTTCGTTTTTGATAGACAGGCCATGGGGAGTGCTCAGAGGGCTATAATCTCGGTCCTGATTGATCAAATTATTACTATAACAGCTTTTGTTGATTGTGCTTTTATGGTAGTATTTGATGCAATTTTCGAGTAGATTATTAAGGAATATGGAACCTCATCCCTCAAACTACCGAGCCATGTTGAAATAAGGGTTAAGTAGCAGTAGCGCTACTAAAACTTGAGGTCTATGTCAATGTCAGAATTCTCAAAATCAACTGAATTAGGGTCCCTTGATGGAAATTGACGTTAGTCATCTTGTGTTATGATGACTTTAACGTCAATTTCCATCAAGGGACCCTAAACTGAATAACCCTGTAGGCTGAGCTGTTTCTGCAGGAATTCGCAAGAAAGAGTGATCTTTCCTATGTTAACAAATATGAAGTGAACCCGCCTGAAAACACTTCTGCTCAATGGGCAGGAACTGTCATTCATGACATCAAGTCATTTCTCTTGGTGCCCGGAAACAGAAGTAAGAGTAATAGATATTTACCATACAAGTATCATAAAGGTTCATTGATTGATTCAATGATATGAGACGGGAAATTTGTCAAACGCGTCCTTCGATCAACTTAATATGCATTTACACAATATTTTACCTACTACCAAACACGCTAATCATTATCGAAAATAGTTAATATTCCTTGAATTAATGATTCAGTAAGAATTTGTAACAGGCCAGCATTGTGAGGGTTGCAGGTTGCGCATATATTTGTGATTATTTTCTTCCTATGATTTTAAACCAATCAGAACGTTCAGTTGAGTTGAGCTACCTTGTATAATTTTGAATATACGTGGATATACATAGAAGAGCTCCAACAATTAGAAATTTACAAGTATTTCAGATGAAATAGAAACCAATTCATATTGTTACATACATACATATATCTACTACTCATATATGAAGCATAGCTGTCCTCAGAGCGGAACCAACTTCTGTCTCTATAGGTAACGAAATCGACCAATACGCGTTGATGCCGACGAAGGAAAAAAAAATCCACAATATGACTACTTTTCCATCCTTCACTTTCCGTCCTTATAGATTCGAATAGTACTTCTCATCTTGGTCCCATTTTTAAATGTAAAAACTTCACAAACGATTTCCACAAAATTCTCAAACACACGACATGTTTCGCTAACACAGTAGCTTCGTCAGGTGATAAACTGGTACATTTTTGTTGAGATATCGTATAGGCAAAGCGCCATATATAGAAATAGTAAGATATATGGTTCAAACCTTCTCGAAATCTTCAAGACTGTTAAACTGAAACTCTTTGTAATTATGCAACAAGTTATCGATATACAGGGTATGTGACAACGAGCTTACACTATCTCTATATCGAGAATCAGTCGGGAGAAATACATGGAAATATGCATGCTTATATTTTAGAATACGCTCTGTTCATTTAAAATAATTACAGCAATGCAGTGTTGGCACTTCCATCGAAAAGTAGCAACAACTTTGTTATTTCAAATAGAATACCCTGTATTTCATTGCATTTTTAGATTCTCTCTGAGCCTTTCGGTGGTAGTTTTCTATAAGGAGCTGAGTAAATCTATGTCTCACATCCAAAATGATAGGATTTCTCTTTAATGTGATTTCTTTCAGCTGGGTATTGATTCTTCCCTTCATGCATATTATGTTCTCGTACAGAAATGGTGACAGCTTAAAGATTCTAGATGACTTCTCTATTTCTTTCCCACTCTTCAGACTAAGTTCATCATATAAATAGATTCTTTGTACTTCTCTATACCACATTTTTTCTGCATTTACCAGTTCCCTAGGGAAAAACTTTTGTTTTGACCTGTCTTTCTACACTTGCCTAGGAATCTCATAATCCGTGCCGTTGTTCTCACTATTTTGCAAAGAAAACCAAGCGGATCAAATAAAGACAAAAGGAATTTCAAAATTTCTCTTTGTAGGAATTCCGTTTCCATTCAGAATATTTGGGTTGACTTGTTAAACATTCGTGGTGAAGATGAATTCATTAGTTTCCGGCAACCATTTCAATCCTAACACTTGTCTTTTACCTTTCCTAATCAATAGTAGAAAATTTGGAGATTCTTGTATATTTTTAGTTGCTGGGCTGGCAACGTAAAAATCGTAACCTAAAATCATGGTTATTTGAGCTGGAACTTACTGGTCTCACTCTATTCTTCACAGGCGTCATTATCAGTCCAGCATGGGTCTTTGGGGTGGAAGAAAGCGTCACGTCGAACGTGAGGTTCGACATGTTGGGGCTGTTGAGGAACTGCGAAGGGCTGAACGGCAGCTGCTTTATCGGCGAACCGCCGTTCCTCAGCGGGCTGAATATCGTCGGTTTGGCCCCGTCCAGCAAAAAGTCCATGTCGTCGGTTCTGCCAGCACTGGTGCTGGGAACGACGACGTTTTCCGATATCTGATCGTCGCTGTCTCGCCTTCTTCTCGATTTGCCTCGTCTGAGGATCGGCGGGGTGGACGATCGAAGCATGCCCAGGGCGTTCGCGACAGGTACTTGCGTGTTTTGAGAGTAATTTGGGGGAACCACTCCTGAAATTCAAATTTTTATCAAGCCTCTGTTTAAGTTGAGAACATAAAAAACGATGTATTACAGCTCTCAAACTAATCGGACCACTCATGAATCGTCCACTTTTTGATATTCAGTATTTTCTTTCTTTAGCAACAATAATGTAGGAAAATCAGAAAAATGAAACATAAACAAAGTCGTTGGCTTACTGTTAAAACCTCGTAAGTCTTTCAGAGCTAATTGTTCAGGACGGAAAAAATCGTTTTCCAATGGTTTAGGTGCGTACGGAGGTTTGAAAACACGAGGAACAATAATATAAAGTTAGTTTTCTCGCAAAAAATGTGTAATATGATTACAATAGAAATCGACCCCTCTTTTTATTTCAATAAGAAAGCACTGCAAAGGTCCAAAAGGATGTTGTCTTTGAAAAATCAATCATATTGATGGTTATTCATATCAAATCAAATCACACTGTACGTTATTGTCGAATATACAATCTCATGGACAGTGTTCCTATTTCAAGAAATAAAATCTTAGAACTACTAGACTACTTAGTAATTTCCTAATTATTGAGTAATCAAAGCAGAATTTTATACTTTACTTTTTCACATAACACTACTACCAATATTCTCATAACCACATTAATGTAAACGCAAGAATATAAACTATGACACATAAACATAATACCGGTCCCACGAATCGCACGACTGAAAGTTGCGATATGGAGGGGAGTGGGACGTTCAAAGTGTGATCCGCTTTATACATCATAAAGAGCCTTGGCCCGATTACAGTTCCTTGCGGTACACCAATATCAGGAAGGATTCCTACTCACTGGCTTTTATGAATTGTCTATTATTCGTCTTCAAAGGGCTCACTCCTGGCGAATTATAGAAGCCCATGTCGAACTCGGCCATCCCGTCGTCATTCAAAGGCGGCGACGGCTGACTGGTGTAGGCATAGTTGAAGGTCACCACTTCGTTGTTGTTTTGCGTAGCCCTGGAGGGCGAGGGGTTCGTCCGTTCGAAAGTGGCTCCCGCGTGCCGAGGAGTGGGCGGCAAGGGGCTCGGACTGGGAGTGGGAGCGCCTATCGAGAAGCCTCCCGTGCTCGACTGGCTGCTGGCTTGGTCGTACATTTCTACCGCCCATTCCTGAAGTGGAAAGTTTGATCAATGATGATCGGACAAGAAGCAGCGGGGAGATAAACAGTAAAATTCTTAAGCGGCGTTCACAACCAAACTTTTTACATTTTGCATTTTACGTTTCGTTTTCTGATTGGTGAAGCATTATCTGTAATTGAAATGACGCAAAAAGCTGAAAATATTCAGCTTTTTGCGTTGCAAGAAGCCATCGTCTGTAAAAATAATAAAAATACACAAATGATATCGTTATAAAGATGGAAAATACTACTGTTAGTTCTGATAAAACAATACATGTATGGAACATTCTATATGGAAGTTATGATAATGTTTCCATGCTATCCATTTCATCTTTAATTTCTCTGTAAATCTTTATATCATCAGCAAATAAAAGTTTTTGGGATAGGATATGATCAGCAATATCGTTTATGAAAATTAGAAAAAGTAAAGGTCCAAGATTTGATCCTTGAGGGACACCAGAAGATGCCGTAAAGCAGGAAGATTTGATTCCATTGCACTCAACATAAAGACTACGGTCAGATAAGTATGACTTGAGAAGCAACTGAATACTTGTAGAGATACCAAAGCTTGATAGCTTATTTATTAGTTGTTGATGTGACACGCGATCAAAGGCTTTACTGAAGTCAGTATAAATAACATCAACCTGATTTCTTCGGTCTAAACAATCTGAAATGAACTGCGAAAATCATGATCTATAACGCCTATTTTCTTTCTATATTCCGTTATCTGATAACAAACTGGGGGATATGTTCTCAAACATTATTTAAAAAAATCAAAACTCTACAAAATAAGGTAGTAAAAACTTTATTTGGCTATGACTGCAGAACAAATACAGAAATTATCTACCATCAAACTGAAATTTTGCCGCTGGAAAAAATTCTACAGATAGAACAATGTAAATTTATTTATAAAATAACAAGAAATCAACAAAAATGCAACACAAATATGAACATAGTTAATGAGATACATTCATATGAAACTAGAAGTCGAAACCAAATCTATCTACCCCAGGTGAGAACAAACATTGGTTTGAATAATCCCTTCTCTAAATGTCTTGAAACATTCAATAATTTGCCAAACTGGATAAAAAATAAAAATAGTTACTCTACATTCAAAACTGAAATGATGCAACATGTTGTCAGCCATTGAATTTCAAATATAATTTTGTTCTGGTACCAGCAATCATTGCTGATTTGGAACAATGCTTGAAAATTATTTATTCAGATTTTTACATTTTTTGAGTAGTTTCAATTGAACTTGTCCTGAATATTTTCATTCGTTTTGATCACATACTTCCTACATGTATATATGTATATATTTGATATATTTATTTGTAGATATTGTATGTATGTATGTATATGTAAGTATGTATATGTATGTATTTATTGAATTTAGTTAGGGTAAGAAAAAAGAAAACAAAAACATTTTTGTATTGTTGAAATTTGTTATGAATTGAAAATAAAGCATATTGGAAAAAAAAATACAAAGGTTGGATGCAGTGTTTCTAGCCTCGACAAAACCATGTTGAAACTCAGATAGAGATGAACGGATATGATTGTATATTAAATCAGAAAGAATAATCTCAAGTATTTTCGAGAAAACCGAAATAATTACTATTGGTCTGTAGTTTTCAATGAGTGTGAATATGGTGAACGAGTTTCATAATTATGATTCGATTCTATTCAAAATTTGAATCTGGGGGTTTACGGGGTCGGTAGAAGTAGCAGAATCAAGATGAAATAAGTTTAATTGCCTTGTGTGATGATCATGAATTTCTGAGTTTCTTATCAAAACAAAATTGGATTTCAAATTTTTGTTTATGATATTATATGAAACTTTAAGAGTATCTATTTTATACAATTCATCCAATGAAAATTTTTCTGTTATCGCATACAGATCATTTGTTGGGATATCAAATGAGAGGCTATACAATACTCTCAGAGATTTCTTATAGAGTGCAGATATTCTACTGAAATATTTTTTTAACAAGATCCCCAAATGTTTATCATATAGGACAATATAGGTATTACAACTGTGTATATGAGAATTAAGTACTATGTTTATGATTTTTTCATCAAGTTTAGGACATCTTCGCAAAGCTCCAATCATTGATATTTTTTGTCCCATTTCAATTTTTCATCAATCCAAATAGCAAGATACTTTATTTGTGTAGTTCTTTTCAATACTTTATCATTTGGAGATCGAGATTAATATTTTGTTTATTTTTCTGATGGAATATGATATTCAGTTTCATTCTTATCAATTGATAAAATGTTTGAATAAAGCCATTTTTCAAATGTATTCAAATCTTCTTCAGCAATTTTTTCTAGAATAATGGGGGTTTTGTTTACGTATGAAAGTACTGTATCCAATAATCCAATTTTAGAAATATTCTGAATATACTGGGTGAGCCGGGAGGAACGCACCAAACTCCAGGTGTGTATTGTACAGATATAAATAATTTTAGAAAACCCATATTATGTTCTTATACGATTCTCATTTGTTTTCATTCTAAATTTGAATAGATGTGTAGCATTTTATAGGACTTTAATCGTACAAACTCGAAAATAAACGCGTCAAACACACTGACACTGACAGGAACATGCCAGAACAACAAAACAGGTGAAACAATGGAGTTTGTACAATTGAAATCTTATACAACGATACAAATCTATTGAAATTCGAAATGAACAAATGAGAATCGTATCAGAACATATTGGTTTTTTACAATACACACCTGGAGTTTGGTGCGATCCTCCAAACTCATCCTGTATAATAAATACAAGATGGGCCCTGAAACAGATCCTTGTGGAGCACCTTTATTTATTAGAAGTCTATTAGACTCTGACATATTATATTTAGTGCTGATTCACAAGATAAGATCCTAAAAGATTTTTAATAATGACTATGTTTATTTGAAAACCAATAATAGTTTCCTACCTCTGTGTAAACTGAAGAATTGTCCTGTTTGATTTGTACCATATCATTGGTCTCGACTTGAGACCCCTGACTTCGTTGATGAACAAATTGCGAGTACAGACTATTTTCATTCTGCCGCGAGATTTTCCTATGCCTTCCTCTTCTCGAATCTCCGTTTTCTCGACTCTCTGACTCATATTTCCGCCGCATCGTCGAATTCCAATGATTTTTAATGGCATTGTCAGTCCTACCCGGCAGCAGTTTGGCAATCCTCGCCCACTGATTGCCCAGCATTTGGTGCGCTTGGTAGATGATTTCATCTTCTTGTTCGGTCCAGGCGCTTTTCTTAATTTTCGGGTTCAGATGGTTGTGCCACCTCTCCCTGCATTGTTTTCCGATTCTGCCCTTCAAATGGCGAGCGATTAACGTCCATTTTTTGGCACCGTACTTATTGACTAGTTCGATCACTTTTTCATCCTCCTGAAAAATAAAATTAAAAATAAGCAAAATAGCACTGACTCAACTTTTTTCCAAAATATCGATAGGTTTTAGAACGAATTGTTAGGTTATGATATACCATACCACCTATTTTAATTTCATTATTCATGTGGAAAACTAGAAGTAAGTAACAAAAAACAACTACTTCATTACATTTGAAATGTTACTTTTGTGGTGTATGACTGGATTCAAAAAATGAATGGGAAACAGTAGTTTATTATTATTATTTTTGAGAATGTTTTTTTTATAATGGAGGAGCGTAATGCAACTAGAGTATGCACTAGAAACAAAAAATTGAGGCTGATATCTTTAAGGTTGTAGATAGTAATAATAAGGACTCAAAATAGTTCCTTGTTGATGATATTAAGGTATGACATAAACATCTTCTCAACATTTCTTAATATTTAATATATTTCTAGAATATCTGGCTTGGATGATTATTTCACTAGCAATACCAATCAGACGAACTAGACAAGCCCAGTCAGCACATCCTTTTGTAGTCAACTTCGAAAGATGTCGAACAGCACTTTATCAAGACTCCTTCATCCATAGAACGGCTAGGCTCTGGAATTCATTGCCTGTGGAAGTATTCCCAACATCATATAATCTCCAGAAGTTGAAAAAAATCCAATACCTACCTCCTGTCCCTATCCTCCGTAGGAACGCACGATGTTCTTTGAACATTATAGGGATTCCCTTTCGTGCGCTCCAAGCGATAAGGAAAAATAAAAAAAAAAATACGCATTTGGTAGGCTGCATGTTCAATAGGGTGTCGGAATTTTCCATTTGAATAACTATATGGGAACTACACAAATTCCCACATGATGAGAGATAAACTTTGAGGATATATTGAATAATGTTGATTGCATGACCTATGATAAGGTTTGTTGTTCATTTGTTGTTGTAAAAAATCAATCGATAATGCAACTTCCATAATGTTGATCAAGATGATCATATTTCATTTTGTTTCGGTGTTGAATACCACTAATGTAATCTAATCATAAATATTTCCTAATAGTACGGTGTAATTAGACCTAAACCTCAACATCCAAAGTAAAAGTTTTCCTTCAACACCAAATTGCTCTACATAGTCCCCTTATTCTATGGTAAAAAGTTACACCATTTTGAGCGTCGGGTTTGGGGGTGAGGGGGGGTGGAATTTGAAAAATCACTAGTTTTTTTAGTTTTTCGTAAATATTTCAAAAACTAAGCGGTTTATCCTAAACATTGTTATATACAAAAATGTTCTACGTTAAATTTTAAATAAGAATGGTCCTTTTCATAATCACTCTAAATTGTACGGTTCAAGAGTAACAGACGGTGTAAATGTTAACTTTTTCGTAATTTTGATAATTTTTTAAAAAAATAAGCTTCGTAAAAGAATGTGCTATTTCAGTGGCCGGTGGTATGTTAGTGATAAGCCCTTGAAGGAACGACAACCTCACCACCTTATCAAGGGGCACTCTTATTTAAGGGAAAAGAGGCTTCCACAGGCCTAGGCCATATAAACCTGTGGTATGGAGAAACCCACCCTGAACTTTCTACGAACATTGCAACATAAATTCACTTCTCAAGCATAAATATCTTTCAAATTTGGAATGTTCAATGTCTTTATTAACTTCGCTCATCCTCCAGCACATTATCCTCCTCCTCTAGCTCGTCGTCTAAGATGTTATTATTGTCCATGTTATCACATGCTTGGCCTGAGCAATTGCTGCATATGCTAGTGCAGTTTAGACCACTCCTTTTGCATTCACAATTACGAACGCATTCATCTTTGGAAGTACACATTCTAAGGGACAGTAATTCCTGGGGGGCTGCCAATCTTCTTCCAACCCCACTCGAGTGGATCCTTATCTTCAGCCACTGTTGTACCTGGTGGTAGGTCCTAAATGAATGCTGTCTGGACGCTGATGAAGTGGGGGGTAGTGCATCCAACTTCAGTAATGCATGTATAGGCTGCTTTGCAATCGCTTTCAAGTAGGACTGGTAGCGGAGACAATCTAGATCTTCAGTGTTCTTGGCTCCAAACATTGCAAGTAGGAAGTAATTTCCTGCATCAGCCACTGCACTGGGGTCGGCTTTGGGGTTGTTGAAGACCAGAAGTTTTTCACGAAGAAAGTTGTTGGCTTGAACTTTTCCCTTAGACAGCAGACACAGTGTCACATCCTGTGAAGGCGTATGTAACCAGAAGTACATCTTTCATATCCCCAATGCCTTGCTGAATGTCAGAAATAATGTACACTTTTTTCTGGTGATTTCCTTTTTTAGGTACGACCATAAGGGAAAATTTCAAGCCAACAACTTTCTTCGTGAAAAACTTCTGGTCTTCAACAACCCCAAAGCCGACCCCAGTGCAGTGGCTGATGCAGGAAATTACTTCCTACTTGCAATGTTTGGAGCCAAGAACACTGAAGATCTAGATTGTCTCCGCTACCAGTCCTACTTGAAAGCGATTGCAAAGCAGCCTATACATGCATTACTGAAGTTGGATGCACTACCCCCCACTTCAGCAGCGTCCAGACAGCATTCATTTAGGACCTACCACCAGGTACAACAGTGGCTGAATGAAGATAAGGATCCACTCGAGTGGGGTTGGAAGAAGATTGGCGACCACCTGACACCAATTACAACAGCACGTCCTGCAGCCCCCCAGGAATTACTGTCCCTTATAATGTGTACTTGCAAAGATTAATGCGTTCGTAATTGTGAATGCAGAAGGAGTGGTCTAAACTGCACTAGCATATGCAGCAATTGCTCTGGCCAAGCATGTGATAACATGGACAATAATAACATCTTAGACGACGAGCTAGAGGAGGAGGATAATGTGCTGGAGGATGAGTAAAGTTGATAAAGACATTGAACATTCCAAATTTGAAAGATATTTATGCTTAAGAAGTGAATTTATGTTGCAATGTTCGTAGGAAGTTCAGGGTGGGTTTCTCCGTACCACAGGTTTATATGGCCTAGGCCTGTGGAAGCCTCTTTTCCCTTAAAAAAGAGTGCCCCTTGATAAGGTGGTGAGGTTGTCGTTTCTTCAAGGGCTTATCACTAACATACCACCGGCCACTGAAATAGCACATTCTTTTACGAAGCTTATTTTTTTAAAAAATTATCAAAATTACGAAAGTTAACATTTACACCGTCTGTAACTCTTGAACCGTACAATTTAGAGTGATTATGAAAAGGACCATTCTTATTTAAAATTTAACGTAGAACATTTTTGTATATAACAATGTTTAGGATAAACCGCTTAGTTTTTGAAATATTTACGAAAAACTAAAAAAACTAGTGATTTTTCAAATTCCACCCCCCCTCTCCCCCAAACCCGACGCTCAAAATGGTGTAACTTTTTACCAAACAATAAGGGGGTTATATAGAACAATTTGGAGTTGGAATAAAACTTTTACTTTGGATGTGAAGGTTAGGCCTTTTTTTAGGTTAATAACACCGTACTATAAATATTTACATGCTGTTTCACAATATCCAAAGACAAAAATTAATAAACACTTTGAGAGGGGTCAGTAATTGCTTCAGAAACTTATTTCTTGTTTCAGATTATCATTAGGTATTGTACTCATTATTTTTGGATTTAAAAAATGTTGGCTGAGTTGGATTGATCTATGGTGTTACTAACCTATCGAGGTCAAATTGATGTTTGTTTATTGATTGATATCTTATTTATGTAAGGTATTTCAAAAGTCTGCCAGAATCTCTGGTGAGCTGATTCCCAAGACAAAAATATTAAAAAAGTTTATACCTACATCGGTCCCAAAATTCTGATCAAGCATAAGCATGATATTCTTATTGATCGTACCAACTTTTGTGAATGTCGAAATATTGAATGAAAAATCAATGATGGGTCCATATTTGAGGAGCTGTAACTCCCCAAGGAAAAAATTGTAGACTCATGTTGGTATGACTTTTATGTCTCTATATTATCTGGAAAATAGCTCACAATTATCATTGGAGTATAGAAACACTCTGTATACTTTTAGATTCTGTTCCACTCATTCCAGTAGGCGGATTCTACCATATATATGATAAACAAATAATAATAATGAACACTTGGCACTTTTGCACTTCAAGAACAACAGTTTGCTGAGTAGAAAATGTGATGATTGTTATAAGCTGGAATACAACTTCCGTTCCCTTTCAGTGGGTAAAGCCGACGTATCCTTTACAGAACCGTTGACACAATATTATGTTCATATTTTGCCACTTCATGATAACTCTCAACCTGTTTTGATGGAGCTTCTAAGTGATTAGAATTCCCTTTGGTACCTACATAAGGATAATTTATTGCTCAACAACTGGTCGTTTAATGTTATGTTCAAATTTTGGAAATGAACAGATTAAAGTGAGATAAAACACTTGCAAATTGAGAAAACTCATATTCGGATACAGAATTCACTAATTCGAGGTGATTGACACAAATAAGATAGAGAAAAAACTAGGAATAAATACATTCGATTCGGGGAATATTTTCACACTGAGAATTTGAATTGAAATCGTCAATATTGACGTCAAAAAATAAAATAATATTGGTAAATATTTTTTTTATACTTCAGATCCCTTGTAAACCTTCCTATTATTACGAAATTGAGTAAATTGACATTTCAAGAACATGCAGAGACGGGCCCATAGAGGGGTTGGTGTTAGGGATCCATTCCCCCAATCTTAGACGTATTGGAAAATTGAGCTAGGGAAAGTTTATTAAAAAAAAAACGTTTCATGGTGAATATAAAACATGAAATTTCACTTTCGTAGTCGTAAGTTCCAAGTTTAATGAACTAAACATGAAGGAAAATACATTTCGAGTTCAAACTAGCAACTTCCAAATTCAAACCCGAACTTTTCGACTGATTAAGAGTTTGAAGTCGAAAATAAATTGAATTCCGAATTTCGATGTTCTATATTTTTACAGTGTTAAATTAAATAAGTTTTAGGAAAACGTTTTTTAATAATCCACCTAGGATGAT